GACAAGAAAAACACCTATCATAAATGCTCCAAATATATTCACTGATGGGTCAAATAATGGTACAGCAGCAGTAGTTACCCCTGATCAAACTTTTACATTTTTAGTACCCAAACAATCAGCTCAAAAGGTAGAGCTTAATGCAGTTTTACAAGCTTTTGTGATGTTTAAAGATTCTGTATTTAATTTATTTTCTGATAGTCAGTATGTAGTTAATGCTATAGTATCTCTTGAAGATGCTGGTAGGATTTCCCCTTCTTCTACTGTTTTCTCTTTGCTTTCCACTATACAAAGTCTAATCTGGGACAGAAAAGATCCATTCTTTATAGGACATATCAGGGCACATACAGGATTGCCTGGAGCCCTTAGTTTGGGCAATGATTTAGCAGATAAAACTACACATGACATACATATTTTCTCTACACTAGAAGAAGCTATAAATTTTCATAAAAAGTTCCATGTCAATGCTAATACTTTACAAAAGCGTTTTAAAATAACTAACGAACAAGCTAGACAAATAATAAAACAATGTCAAAATTGTGTGACCTTTTTACCACAAGTTAATCTTGGAGTCAATCCTAGAGGATTGATACCTAACCATATTTGGCAGATGGACGTCACACACTTGCCAGAATTTGGAAAATTAAAATATTTGCATGTTACAGTTGATACTTCTTCTGGATTTTTGATGGGCTCCCTTCATGCCGGAGAAAAAACTAAAGATGTTATAGCTCATTGCTTACAAAATTTTGCCACTGTGGGTGTTCCAAAACAGTTAAAAACAGATAATGCCCCTGGTTATACTTCTACCTCTTTTAAACAATTTTGCTCAACATTTGGCATTACTCATATAACAGGAATCCCATACAATCCACAGGGACAAGGCATAGTTGAAAGAGCTCATCAAACTATTAAAATGTACTTATTAAAGCAAAAAGAAGGAATTGGGAAGGGGTATATATTCCCCAAAGATAAACTTAAAATAACCCTTTTTACTCTAAACTTTTTAAATTTGGATTCATCAGGACTTAGTGCTGCGGAAAGGCATATGTGTCCAAAAAATGTACATAAGCCCAAGGTACTTTGGAAGGATATTCTAACAGGACAATGGAAAGGTCCTGACCCAGTAATTGTCTGGAGTCGGGGGTCTGTTTGTGTGTTTCCACAGGGAGAACAGCAGCCGATTTGGATTCCAGAGAGATTAACCAAGGTCCTGACCCAGTGATTGTCTGGAGTCGGGGGTCTGTTTATGTGTTTCCACAGGGAGAACAGCAGCCGATTTGGATTCCAGAAAGATTAACTAAAGCGATTTCTACAGACCAAAAAGAAGATGATTTGGCTCAAATCCATAACAACTGATATCCAAAACTCCAGTTTGGCTATTCTTACATCTGCAACAGAACCAGGATGCTTTTTTCAATATCTATTTTATTATTGCCCTTTGCCATATCATGAAGTTCTATTTTGTTTTTTGAGCTCATACAGACCTAGGTTAATGTTTTGCTGATCAGTTCTATTTTTTGACTATAGAGTTTTTAAACATTGCAATGGAGATTTCACCTGTAAAAAGTTATAAGGCCTTTACTATAATGTTATGTGTTGTATGTATTATATTATGTGTGCACACTTGTGTTTTGTGTTATATGTTTGAATGTACGTATGTCCATATATCATATATGATGAGCGCTCATGATAAAATGGATCCAAATATTTTTTTTTCACGTGATTTATATGGTTTAATTTAAATTGGGTAAACAACTGTTGAGGATTGTTTTAATATGTAAACAAAAAAGAAGGTTAACAGATCTGTTTGTTTACTTTTACCTTTCCTTTTCATTATATTTAATAATTCTCTTAAAGATAATGTAAATTGTTAAGAAAATTGTTTTCTTTTAGTGCCTTCTGTAGTGTTACATAATTTTTTCTTTAGCCATTATTGCCAGAATTCCTATCTTCATCCCAGTGCTGGTGAAGTGAAAGATAAAACCAATCTACAGCTTCTACAATAGCCATCACTGAACTGCTTGCAGAACTTGCCTGGACACATTGTGAGCTCACCTGTATGCATTGTGAACTATCTGTTGGTACAGCGAATTGTGGTAGTGCTGGAGTATTTTTGCTGATGGTGTCACCAGTGGTACAATTTTTCAAAGGAGCCCTCAATTGGCTTAATGTCATGGCATTTTGCATCCTCCTCTACTAGTGATGGTCTAAAATTTGGGGGCCAACAGAGGTGAGGCAAAGAACCTCACCCCCCCACAGGTGCAAAGGCCTATCCACAAGTATGGCTGTATGCTGGACCGGTAGTCAGTGACGGGTATGATCCAATTGCAGTGGTACCAACCTAAGACAGGAGGCTGACGCCTAGAGGTCAGTTCATCCGATGACGGGTAAGGACCATATGTTGAATTGGACTGCCTAACAGGCACGGTCCCTAAGCCACATGCTTGTTGTTTAAACAGAGAGGGGGAGATGTTGAGAGCCACAGCCAAAGGGGCCCCAGCAAACTTCCAGCTGCCAGCAAACTTCCAGCTGCTGGCTGATGATTGGCTCACAGCGGCCCCAGCAACATCTAGCTGATTGGCTCCTCTGCGGTGATGCTCATTGGACTGTTTCCCTGCCCTTTCAGACCACGGAGCTGCTCATTGGGGGACTTTTTTGGCTCCGCCCACGTGACCCAGCCAATCGGCCTCAAGAGCAGGAGGATTGTGGGAGGTGGAGAGAAGCTTGTGTGGGAGAGAGAGGCTTGGGGAAAGCCGGTGGTGGCAGTTGAGGCTCTGAGGGTTTTTCCTGAGAGACTATTTTGTTTGTCGTGTGTGGTTCTAAAAATAAAGTTAGTTTCTTTTGACAAGTGGCTCCTGATTGTGCCCAGCCAGACTGCGGCATAGTAGTTTATGAATTTCAAATGGGAATTTGTAGCAAGTTTCTATATACTTTCCTTGTTCTAGTGTTTTTATGCCTTATAATTTTATCATATCAAAATAAGAATTTTTAATTGTTTTATCTTAACCTATTACATAAGAGATAAGTTCTTATTGCTCAGATTCTTATGTTTTAGTTTCTTCTGTATAGTTCTTTTCTTTTGGGGGGCATGTAGTACTGGGAATAATTTTTATTAATGTAGCAATTTAATCTTTTTGTGTGAACTATTGTTAATCAAGTAGTAAGTATAGTTCCAGCCAACTCAGTATGAAAACAATAAATAGGAGTTTTTATTTCTCTCTTTCTCTTTTTAAAGTACTGGGAATTGAACCCAGTGCCCATTTGCTAGGCAAGTGCTCTATAACTGAGCTACAGCAGCCCTAATAGCGGTTTTAAAAATTCCCACACTGGGAGGGAAAGGGAGAGAGAAGGGAAATTGCATGGAAATGGAAGGAGAGACGTACCCTCATTGTTATACAAAATTACATATAAGAGGAAGTGAGGTGAAAGGGAAAAAAAAAACAAGAGAAATGAATTACAGTAGATGGGGTAGAGAGAGAAGATGGGAGGGGAGGGGAGGGGGGATAGTAGAGGATAGGAAAGGCAGCAGAATACAATAGACACTAGTATGGCAGTATGTAAAAACGTGGATGTGTAAACGATGTGATTCTGCAATCTGTATATGGGGTAAAAATGGGAGTTCATAACCCACTTGAATCAAATGTATGAAATATGATATGTCAAGAGCTTTGTAATGTTTTGAACAACTAATAGTAAAAAAAAAAAGAAAAAAATTCCCACTTAGAAGAATATTATAAAGAGCAGGGAACTAGGAGACTAGAAACTTAAGTTATATGGTGCTGTATCTTTTTCGAGCTAGTTATGTGACCTTGGACAAGTCACTTAAGCTTCCTGAACCTAGGTTTACTCATCTCTAAAGTGTGAGGGTTTAATTAGCTCTTTAAAAAATATTAAATTAACTGTTTTTATGTATGGAACCACTAAATGTTAACATTTTAGCATGTTTGCTTTGGTATTTTTTTTTAAAAGAAATATTTTTAGTTGTAGTGGACACAATGCCTTTATTTTGTTTATTTAGTTTTATGTGGTGCTGGGGATTCAACCCAGGGCCTCACACATGTTAGGCAAGTTGCACTGAGCAACAATCCCAGCCCTTGCTTTGGTATTTTTAAGAAACATATTTTAGGTGCAATAAAAACTTCCAATCTCAGTCCTCCTACTTTTTCAGTGTTTATTATTTTCTAGCATGTTATGACAGTTTTAGTATGCATGCGTGTGTTTTCTTTAAACAATACAAGTAGTTTCACATGTTTAAAATGTTATGCACATGGCATCATACAGTTGATTCAACATTTGTTGTTGGTGCTTGGTATGTAAACATTTTCAAGTTAAGGAAGTTATCATTTGTTTACAATTTGTGGAGTTTCTTGTTTTTGTTTTATTTGCTATACTAGTGACTGAACCCAAGAGTTCAGTCTCTGAGCTACATCCCCAGATCTTTTTATTTATTTATTTATTTTTAAAAATATTTATTTTTTTAGTTGTAGTTGGACACAATACATTTATTTATTTATTTATTTATTTAAGATGCTGAGGATTGAACCCAGGGCCTCGAATGTGGTAGGCGAACACTCTACCACTGACCCATAACCCCAGCCCCTCTTTTTATTTATTTTGAGATAGGGTCTTGCTATATTGCAGAGGCTGACTTTAAACTTGGAATCTTCCTGTCGAAGCCTACTGAGTAACTGGGATTACAGGCATTCACCACTGTACCCTCCTGAGTTTATTGTTTTTGTGTTTCTTTTAAAATCATGAGTGGGTATTGAATTTTGTTAGATGCCTTTTCTACAACTATTGAGATGATTTTATGATTTTTCTCCTTTAGTCTTTAGTAATCTGGTGTATTCTATTAATAAACTCTCTAGTGCTAAACTATTATCACATTCCTGGGATAATCCCAATTTAGGATGTTCTTTCTGGCTTTAAACTTGATTTCTACAGCCCTTTGTGAAGGTAAGGAAATATATCTGATTAACATTTTTCTGTTTCTCTTTAAGGATGTTTTTCAGTGATGTGATTGAAAATACTATGCGGGAGTTACAAGATTCAGGCACTTTCACAACTCTCCTGCAAACCTTAAACAAAGAAAGGGGGAAAAAAATGCATTTCTATGATATCATTGCCAGGTGAAGTAATGTTATGTTTCTTTGCTTTGACTTTATTTTTAAATTTTTTATATGGGCTTTTGCTATGTTGTGCAGATTGCCTGGTCTCAAATGCCTGTGTTCAAGTAGTAGTCCTGCCTCATCCTCCTGAATAGCTGGGACTGCAGATGTGTCCACCAAGCCCCACTTTAAAACAAAACAAGTATGTCCTTTCCAGGGAAGATATAACTGAGTAACTGAAAGTGATAAATTTGGGTTCTATTCTTAGCTAATCTGAGTCAATAACTCAGATTTCTTGCGGGCCTTAGTTATCTGAATCTATGATAAATCAAGGTTGTTCTTCTTTCTATAGTAATATCTCTCTCTCTCTCTTTTGTGATGGAAACTGGGAGTGCTCCAGCACCGAACTACATTCTCAATCCTTTATTTTTATTAAATCCAGGGGTTTCTACAACTGAGCTACATCTTCAGCCCCTTACTTTTTATTTTCAGACAGGGTCTTACTAAATTGCCCAGGCTAGCCTCAAACTTGAAATTCTCTTGTTTCAGCCTCCCGATCCACTGAAATCACAAATATGTGTCACTATACCTGAGTGTGCACTGTGCCTGAGACTGAGTTCAGTGAAAAATCTTTGATTAATAACAAGTTCATGGCTGGGGTTGTGGCTCAGAGGTAGAACACTTGCCTAGCACACGTGAGGCACGGGGTTCAATCCTCAGCACCATATAGAAATGAAGTAAAGATATTGTGCCCACCTACAACTAAAAAATAAATATTTTGGGCTGGGGATGTGGCTCAAGCAGTAGCGCTCTCGCCTGGCATGCATGCGGCCCGGGTTCGATCCTCAGCACCACATACAAACAAAGATGTTGTGTCCGCCGAGAACTAAAAAATAAATATATCTCTCAAAAAAAAAAAAAAAAAAAGATATATATATAACAAGTTCATGCTGGTGCTACGGTATAGCTCCATGATAGAGCAGTTGACTAACATGTGCACAGCCGTGGGTTTTATCCCAAGCACCAGAAAACAAACAAAAAATTGCATACCAAGAGAAGTTTTCTTCTAAAGAAACTTTCAACTTGTACCAAAGATTTTTATGTTTTAAGAATATTCCACTCAAGGCTGGGGGTATAATATGTAGAGCACATATTTAGCATGTGTTGATGCCTTTGGCTCAATTCCTAGCATCTGTCTCCAAAAAAAAAAAAAAGAAAAGAAAATCAACACATTTAAGTTCTTTGGGAATATAATAAAATTCTCCATGAGTCCATATACCTCAGTATCTACAAGGGCTCGCTTCCAGGACTCCAAGTGCATATCAAAACTGTCCAATGCACATTCTCTCATGTATTTTGATCATCTCTAAATTACTTATTAGAACTAATATAAAATAAATGTTATATACCTAGTTATTATATTATTTAGGGAATAAAGACAAAAAAAGTTTGTACATACTCAATATTGCACCCCCCATTTGGTACTGAGGATTGAACCCAGGGGCATTTTACAACTGAGTTACATCCCCAGACCTTTTTATTTTTTATTTTGACACAAGGTCTCAATAAATTGCTGAGGCTGGCCTTGAACCTGTGATCCTTCTGCCCCAGCCTCCCAAGTTATTAGGATTATAGATCTGTACTACCATACCTGGCCTCAAATATGTTTGGTCCATGGTTGGTTGAATCCATGGATGTGGAACTCACAGATATGAAGGGGTAACAGTATTTAGAATAAAAAAAGTGGTTATCTTGTCTGGATAGGTGGAATTGTTTTCCCTTTTCTATCTTTCCTTAATATTGCTAATAAACTCTGCACTAGAATTATTACGTTTTATTTTGGTTTTGTTTTGTGGTACTAGAGATTGAACCCAGGGCCTCACACATGGTAAGCAAGCTACATCCCCAGCTATATTGGAGTTATTATGAACACTAGACTAATTAATACATGTAAAAGATAGTTGCTAGCACTAGTAGTTGCCTAATAACAATAATAACTGCTATTATAGACTTAACATTTATTACTGGCAATCCACACAAGGACTGTTCCCATCTTGTGTCAGGAAGCTGACCACAAAGTAGGTACTGTTAAGTACGATAAAATTTATGGGAGGTCACTGATTAAGACTGAGTTCCTGTACTACTCCCAATAGATCATACCAAACCAGAATGTAGTGCTTTCACTAGCTGCCACATGATTAAACTGTATTTTAAAACAGTCCAATTTTCCAAAAACTAGCAAATTCACAGCAACCAATTAGAGGGGATTTATCAACAGGCGCTGGCATGATAAAAAAAAAGTTTCCTCTGCTTTAACCCTGTAAGAAAAGTAACTTTAAATGATAATCTGCTCCCCCCCCCCCACTGTTTCTGCTTCTTCAGTACTTTTCTGCCTAAAACCTACCTCATTTTTTTGGGGGGGGGGGGCGGGGAATTTCCAAAGCAGCCTGTCATGGTGAAGGCCAAATTCATCAACAGAACTGAGGAGATGATTAAGGGTGTTGGCGATACCTGTGTCCTGGTGGCCTGAAGCCACACAGAGCTCTGGAGGTTCATTAAATGCTAACAAATGCTAATGAATAAATAAATAAAACCTACCTCCTCTGCTCAGCTCATTGGAATGCCTTTCTGTTTCATAGATGGGATGCTGCCCAATTCATGAATTGCTAATGAAAACTAATTAGATCTTTAAACTAAATTTGTTGAAATTTTGTTCTTTGATAGTACTAAGTAAGTTGTATTTAGGAAATGCTTCTTTTAAATTATTAGCCTTTATTGTTAGAGCAATTTTAGATTTACAGAAAAGTTGAGCAGAGAGTTGCCCTATGACCTTATCTTAGTCCATTTTGTGTTGCTATAACAGTATATCAGATTGGGTAATAAACAAGTAAAATAAGTTTATCCTTTTTGTTCATTGACCATCAGTATGGGTTTTGTTTTAATCTCAGATTTCCTTAACTTGATTTTCCTATCCTTTTATTTAATTTTTAAAGATTTCATGCTAACATGTGTAATTCAAGAACTCTTTCTTATTCTCTTTAAGTCTTTCATTTTTTTCATAGCATCCTTTGTTGCTGGGGATTAACCCAGGGCCTCATGCATGCTAAGGCAAACATCCTACCACCGAACCCCCAGCTCCTTGTCTTATTATTTTTTTTTAAGTTTTATCTTCCTTGTATTGTCTGTCTTTTCTCTAAATTGCTTTTCTCCTCAAGTTTGTTTTAGACTCTGTCTTTAATGTTAGAGTAATTTTTTAAATACTTGGTCCTTTTGTATTTAAGAGTGAAGCACTGAGAAGCTGATTGGATGTTCTATACATGTAAACAGTAATTCCTTATATAATGGGCTGGGTGAATCTATAGATCTTTTCCCCTGGTGGGTCAAGAAGCAGTGAAAAAGTAATGGTTATTCACTGTATTTGATCTCTGACTACCATGTGTTTGGGAGCTGGCCAGGGAAGGAGATTGGGGAAACTCACTATACAATAAGTAGAATTTTTTTGTTTCCCTAATTTTATTTATTTTTTATTTATTTTTCTTTTGAGTACTGGGGATTGAACCTAGGGATGCCTAACCACTGAACCATATTGCCAGCCCTTATTTATTTCTTCTTCTTTTTTTTAATTAATTTTTAAAATTTATATATGACAGTGGAATGTATTACAATTCATATTACACATATAAAGCACATTTTTTCATATCTCTAGTTGCTTTCAATCTTCCTGCCTCAGCCTTCAAAGCTGCTGGAATCCACCAGCATGCCACCATGGCTGGCTGTTTCCCTCTTTTGAGCATGATCTTCTTCTCCACCTCCTACTGCATCCACTGCCCAAATTTCTGGTTCAACCTTTGCAAGAGACAAAGCAAAAACTAGCCAAAAAAAAAAAAAAACCCACATTATGTGTAAGATGAAGAAAGGCAGTTATGACCACAAGGACTTGGGAAGGAACTCAAGCTCTACCTGCCTTCAAAGATGCCTGGTGCCTCTATGTGCTGAGCTTTCCTAAGGTCTGCAGCTTAATTCAGTTTTCTTCTTGATTTCTCATTCTGTACACATTTATATTTCATTGTTTTCTTTTTTGCTTTATATCTGCCATAATCTTGTTAATTTTCTTTTATCTGCATTGTTTTCTCTTACGATCTCTTTGTATGTTTATATCATTTATTATTCCTTTCTTATTATTTCAGTATTATTTCAAGGGGGAACAGAAATAAATACACATGTTCAATTAATTGAAAAGAGAAAGTGCACATAATTACGCTAAGCGAAAAAATAGGATAAATAATATATCCTCAGTTCTGGAAGACGAAACTTATAGTGTACATTGACTGCAAGGAATGTCATAAAATTTTAACCAGAGTTTACCCTAGATAATGGGGTTAGGGATAATTTTTCTTTTCTTTTTTCATTTTCTAGGTTTTCTAAAATGGTCATATATTACTTTTATAGCCTCCTATAAATGACATTTATTTGTATGTATGAAGGAATCTGACCTTGGGAGGTTGAATTTAATAGTAGAGATAAAGTACTATGCATATCTCACATGTGTTTCTTCTGATCTGTAAGTGAGAAATACCTAATATACAGTTTGTTTTGACAATGACAATCTCACGACTCTAGTTAAGTATATGCTTTCTAAAATTTCTTGAATAAAAGTTGTGTGCAAGGTTCATACCTGTAATCCCAGTGACCCAGGAGTCTGAGGCAGGAAGATGGTAAAGTCAAGGCTGGCCTGGGCATTTAAACAAAACACTGTCACAAAATAAAATATAATAATTTTACTAAAAAGGGCTGGGGAGGGGCTGGGGTTGTGGCTCAGTGGTAGAGTGTTTGCCTTTCAAAGTGAGGCACTGGGTTTGATCCTCAACACCACATAAAATAATAAGTAAAACAAAGGTATTTTGTCTGTGTTCAACTAAAAAAAAAAAAAAAAAAGGGCTGGGGAAGCCAGGTGTGGTGGCATATGCCTGTAATCCCAGTGGCTCAGGAGGCTGAGCCAGGAGGATCAGAGTTCAAAGCAGCAATTTACTAAGGCCCCAAGTAACTCAGCAAGACCCTGTCTCTAAATAAAATATATTAAAAAAGAGCTGGCTCAGTGGTTAAACACCCCTGGGTTCAATCCTAGGAACCAAAAAAAAAGGCATAGAGATATAGCTCAGTGGAAGAGCACTCCTGGGTTTTCTCCCAGTACCCATTCCCCCAAAAAAAATCTTGAGTAAAAATATTTACCTAGATGCAGTTTAGTGATAATTTTTTTTTTATTCTTTTGTTTATTTATTTATTTATACTGGGGATTGAATCCAGGGATACTTTACTTTGATCTACATCCCCAGAACTTTTATTTTTTATTTTGAGCTCACTAAGTTACTAGGGCCTCACTAAATTTCTCAGGCTGACCTTGAATTTGCAATCCTCCTGCCTCATCCTCCTGAGTCACTGGGATTACAGGTGTGCAGCACTGTGCCTGACTTCTTATTTTTATATTGTTTTATTATTTTGTTTATTTGAAACGTAAATACTGGAATTTCTAGAAAGAAGCAGAATTCTGTTTCTCAGGACAACCTGAGAATCAGTCACACAAAGTAGTTAAATTCTCAGGTTTGGTGTTTAACACTGCTGAGTTTAAACCATGTCTGCTAATTACTGTTTTTGTGACCATGGAAAGTGTGTTAGTTCAGGTGACCTGAGAAATAGAGGTCAAGATGGGATTATCCAAGCGAAGATGTTATCACGGGAAACACCTGTGTGAGAGAAATGGGGGTTGGGGAACCTTCAGATCCAATGCAAGACTGACCCCAAAAGATGGAGAGGAAAATTTGCATGGGAAAGATCCCTGGGCTATCAAAAGGTGTTTGGCAAGGTCATCAAGGAGTACTTGAGCAAAGTCAACCATTAGACAAGTCCTGGCTCTCTGGAAAGGGCCTGCCCTGGTATCCCTGCCACACTCAGTAATTGTTTTAGCATCTTTCTATGGGAAGTGACTCTAGAATATACACAGTGAAGAATTTCAGAGCTCAGTGGTTAAATACCCCTGGGTTCAACCCTAGGAACCAAAAAAAAGCTGGGACCTGATCACATAAACTCCCTATAGTTGGAGGTCTGCAAGGTACATTTTTGTGTCTACCACAGGAAAGATAGGAATAATGTTAGACTATCTCCTAAGGTTATTTTGAGATAACAATATATAATTAAAATATTCAGAATAGAAGAGATCCTCTATTGTCGCTTCGTTTTTAATTTTTTTCAGCAGAAACTATATTAAATACAGCACTGATAAGCCAGAAAATCTACAAATTTATGAAAAAAAATAGTCTTTTAAAAAAATGTTACAAAAGTGTGCTCCATGGCTAGGGTTGTAGCTCAGTGGAGAGCGCTTGCCTAGCATGTGTGAGGCACTGGGTTTGACTCTCAGCACCATATATAAATTAAAAAAAAAAAAAAGTCTATTGACAACTAAAAAAATATTTTTTTAAAAAAGAAGTGTGCTCCATGGACTAGCACCAGTAGCATTGCCTGGACTCCTTAGGGATGCAAATTCCAAGGCCTCATCTCAGGACTACTGAGTAAGACTCTCTGGAGGAACTTAAAGATTCTGCTTTTAATGTCCTGGTGATCCTTGTACATACTACAGTTTGAGAAGCCCTGCCCTAAACCCAAAATGTTCTTATTTCTTCTAGGGAGGAAAAAGGAAGAAAACAGATAAAATCCCTTCAAAAACAACTAATTAATGTCAAAAAAGAACGGCAAGCTGAAGTACAGGTAAGGATTACCTGGACAAATACAAAAATTACCTGGCAAACAAAATCTGAGAGGGTGTCAAACAATTTTCAGGAAATTAAAAGATTATATCTTGGGAGCTGGGTGCAGTGGCACACATCTGTAATCCCAGCAACTTGGGAGGTTAAGGCAGGAGGATTGCAGGTTCAAGGTCAGTCTCAGCAATTTAGCAAGACATTTTCTCAAAATAAAAATTAAAAAGGGCTGGCTATGTATCTCAGTGGCACAGTGCCCTTGTTTCAATTGAAACAAAAATCTTTATGTTTATAGGTTGGAAGACTCAACATTAAAAAGATATCAATTCTTCCCAAATCAATCTACAGATTTCTTTCTTTTTTTTTAAATTTTTATTGTTGGTTGTTCAAAACATTACATAGTTCTTGATATATCATATTTCACACTTTGATTCAAGTGGGTTATGAACTCCCATTTTTACCCTGTATACAGATTGCAGAATCACATCAGTTACATATCCATTGATTTACATATTGCCATACTAGTGTCTGTTGTATTCTGCTGCCTTTCCTATCCTCTACTATTCCCCCTCCCCTCCCCTCCCCTCCCCTCTTCTCTCTCTACCCCCTCTACTGTCATCCTGACTGGGTTTTATATTATTTCATCTTATTTTTTAGAAACTTGATAAAGTGATCCTAAAATTTATATAGATATGCTAAGACCAGAGTTGGGCATGTTGACACATGCCTATAATCCCAGCAACTCAGGAGGCTAAAGCAGGAGGGTCACAAGTTCAAGACCAGCCTCAGCAAGGTAGTGGAGACCTAAGTACTTAGTGAAAACCTGTCTAATAAATAAATAAATAAATAAATTAAAAGGGCTGGTGATGTATCTCAGTGGCAAAGCACCTTTTGGCTCAATCCTCAGTATCAAGGAGGTGAAAAAAAAGAAAGAAAGAAAAAAGTAATGATTAGGAGTAAAAATAGTCAACAGTATTGAAGAAGAACAAGCAGAAGGACTTTTTAAAAAATTTTTAGAATTATTATACAGCCGCACTAATTAAAACAGCACATATACTGAAAAGAACAACAAAAACAACAACAAAAAACCCTAGCATATATCAGTGCAAGAATTGACAAATAGAACAATGGAACAGAATATAAAGAAAACCATGACAGATTTGTGACAGGAGGGTATAACAGTACAGTGACAGACAATATTTTTAATAAATAATGCTGAAGAAATTGCATACCTGGGAATAAATTAGACTTTCCTCTGACCTGATACCATACACAAAAATCAATTCCATATCAGTATATGTATTAGTCAGGGTTCTCTAGAGGAACAGAATCAACAGGAAGTATGATTACAAAAAAAGAGGACTTATTAGATTGGCTTACAACCAGAAGCTGGATAGTCCACACTGGCTGTCTGTAGGCTGGAGAGCTGGAAGAACCAGTAGCTGCGCAGTCCAAGAGGCTGAAGCCTCAAAACAAGAGGGATCAACCATGCTACCCTAGCCCTAGATCGAAGGCTTCTGGAAACTCCCTGGAGAATCATGGGCAGAGTCCGCTTTAGAAGAGTGAAGGAGTGAGAGTCTGATATCCTCAGACAATAACAGCCACAATCAGGAAAACCCATTCAAGAAGAATTGAACTTGCATCTACTGCTGCTTCCTTGTTCTTCACCATCTCTTAATCCAACCAAATTGACAATTCAAATTAACCATTACAGTATAAATCTAAATGTGAGAGGCTAAAGCATAAAATTTCTAGATATTATAGAAGACTACCATCTTGACTTTGGATAGGGAAAGATTTCTTAAACAGGCCACCAGTGGTACATATTATAAAGGAAAAAGGTTGGTAAATTTGGCTACATTAAAAATTAAAAACTTCTGGACTGGGGTTGTGGCTCAGCAGCAGAGTGCTCGCCTCGATGTGCGAGGGCCTGGGTTCGATTCTCAGCACCACATAAAAATAAATAAATAAAATAAAGGTATTGTGTCCAATTACAACTAAAAAAAAATTAAAAATTTCTGTTTATCAAAAGAGAGGGAAAGAATGTTTTGGGGTATGTGGTTCAGTGATAGAGCACTTGCCTAGCATGTGTAGAACCCTAGGTTTGATCCCCAGCACCACACAGAGAAGGGGAGATGAGGTGGGAGGGGGTGGAGAGAGAGGGTGGGGGGGAGAGAGAGAGAGAGAGAGAGAGGGAGGAAGCTCCAATGTGGTATAAAGTATGTATATAACCATTTACTTAATACTTATATAATCAACACATTACCAGGAAAGTGCTTGAATCTAAAATATATGGAAAACTCCTATAAATTAATTAGAATGGGATAGATACCTAATGGAAAAACAAGCCAGAGAGTGAATGGGCACTCCAAAAAGAGGATGTCCAAGGGTCTAATAAACATATAAAAGTGTGTTCAACCTCAGTTGTCATTAGGGAAATGCAAATTGAAACCATAAGAGGACACAGTTATATTTTCATTAGGACAAATAATTTATAATCCCAAATGCTGGCTATGTGGAATGATGGGCATTTTAATATTCTAAAACTGAGCATTTATGTTGATACTACTATGCTGGAAAAGTTTCCTATTATTAAAGTTAAAAGATAGGTATATCTTATGAGCCAGCAGTTCACTCAATAGAATGTGTATATGTGAAAAATCATGTGCAGAAACAATCAATACAGAATTTTTTGTGGTAGTTACAAATGGAAACAACCAAATGGTTATCGTACATTATGGCATATTCATACAATGGAATACTAGACTTAAGTTAAAATAAGTGATCTATAGTTACCACATTATAAACCTTATATGAAACAAATTAGTCCAGGTCTGAAAAAGACGTATGGTCTAATTTCATTTTTAAAAAGTGCGAAAAAAACTTTTAGGGGTAAATGGTTAGATTTTAAAATATAAAAAAAAATTTAATGGGAATCAATATGAAAACATAAATCAAATTCCAGGAATCAGTGCTCTCTTTTCTACTTTATTTTCAGTTATGAAAACAGACACAACTATTAAAAGCCTTTGGCTCACATTATTATGGCAACCATCAGAGCCTTATGAACTCTAATTGGTTGACTACTTCTTTCCATTACTAAGTCATGTTTCTCTGAATTCAAATAAGAAGTCCAGAAGACCAGGTCTGAAGGAATTTTGGAATTTGGAATTTGGATTTGTAATTAAAGTTTGGTCTGCCATGAAAACCCGCAAATATGCTGCATCAGTCCATGGACCTTGATCATGGGGAAAGCTCCAGACTCCATGGACAGTCAGAGCTACAAGTTGTAATGAAGGCAAATCTTTCCTTAGTGAAAATCTTAAAAGGAATTTATTTATTTAGGTGGTACTAAGGATCAAACCAGGGCCTCCTGCATGCTAGACAAGCACTCTACCACTAAACTATGTCCCTAGCCCTTAAAAGAATTTATACAACTCAAAACTCAGCTGTAACCCATTGCTTCTTGGCTGGCTCTTCTTGCATAGTGGGAAAATGAGAAATGGAATGGCACTTCAGTGCCATTAGTATAAAATCATGATCAAGTCATACTCACTAGCTGGGTAGTATTTTATATCTTACTGTGTGTTTCCACATTATCACCATGGAGGGCCATAAAAATATTTGTGCAAACCAGCAATACAGAAAGGAAATCAGTAAACAGAGGTCCAAGGCAACAGCATTAAAACCAGATGCCTTTGGTTTGGCATAGCCAATGTTGTATGAACTTAAAAGTTACATAATGTAATATCTTCTGTTTGTCATAGGCAGAAGCTCCTAGAGTTTTAACTCTGCTTTTCTAATCTTCCTATTGTTACTTTGAAAGATTTAATATTTAATTTGATTAAAAAACTGACCAGGGGCTGGGGATATAGCTCAGTTGGTAGAGTGCTTGCCTTGCACGCACAAGGCCCTGGGTTTGATCCCCAGCACCAAAAAAAAAAAAAGACAACAACAACAAAAACAAAATAAAACTGATCCAAACATGCTTTTGAGTTTTGAAAGTTTAGTTTTTATAGGGACATTATTTAATGAACACCTAACTGTCCAACATTATTAGGTTCTGTGAAAAACAAAACTATAGTTAGTTATGTGGGCTTAGCTTTTCTGGAAGAGGATTTATGTCTTTAAGTGATGTGTAAGCTAGACCTGGAAGAAAGCCTAGGGATTAAATAGGTAAAAGGACTCCTGTTGATGAAGAAATGAAATCACCTTATTTTCACTTTAATATGAATCTTCCTAGAGATTCAAACCTCATTATTGACTGCCATACAATTTGGAAATAGAAGGGAGGGAAAGGGAGAAAAGAGAAGAAGAACAAAAAATATGAGCCTGAAGAGAGAGCTCTTAGAATTCATTTAATATACATTTACAGAACATCTAAGTTACGCCAGGCCCTAAGCAGGATTTTACAGATGAGAAAATAGGCTTAGAGAGGTCAAATAATTTATTATAATCCTACAGTTTATAAAACAGTATAAAATACTGAGACATATTATCCACTGGGCTTCTCTGCCACAGACACTTGTGTCCTGGGGATGGTTCTTGTTATAAGTTGAACAATTCTATACAATAACACCAAGAAGCCAGACAAAATAATGTGAAAGATTGCTTTCTGATTAATCCTAGGGACCTATGATCCTTTTAGCTGTTTGCTTTTCATTATGGATGATTTTGATCAATTTTTGCTTTGTTTCTTTTTCAAGTAGTTACTTACAACTAATTCTATCCAGCTTACATGATAAGGTGGTCGATGTCTAGAGAAACAGATCTTTGATGAATTCATAGATCCATAACCCACACCCAGGTTGATACACGGGAGCCGCTTTATTGTCGGACAGTAGAGGTATATATACACTTAACTAATTATACACAGCTTGTTTCAATTAACATCATCCAGATACATCAATTGGTCATTAAGGAATCCTCAGCATCTTAATAATTACACACAGCTTAACTCAATCAACACCATCTAGACACAGCAGTCAGTCATTAAGGAATCCTTGTCATCCTAATGGCCCGCTGGCGTTACTTCACAAACCACTCCCTCTGGCAAAGTGCCAGGCGCCATCTTGACTTGTCCGTGACCCTAAACACCTAATCTCAAGCGATTTTCCTGCCTCAGCCTTCTGAAAAACTGGGATACGGGTGTGCACCACCAAGCCTGGCTTAGTCCTGTGTTTTTGTAATTAGTTGTTTATTTGCTTGTGCTATCAGCTAAATCTGATTACCTCTCTGTGAAGTTAACTCACACTTTCTTTTCAAACAGATGTTACATCTCTGACTAGAACTTTTCCAAGGATTCCCATGCACTTGGAATAAAACCTAAATTTCTTAATAAGAGCCTGCTTGGTTTAGTCTTGCCTACTTCTCCAATTTCATCTTGTCCCACTCTAAATCCTTACTGAAGGGTTTTGATTGTGTCTAGGTCTTGGCTGCCTCAGGACTTTGGAATATACTTTTCTTTGTTTTTGTAATTCCTCTTGGCGACATTTTTCATGTGATGAACTTATTTATCCTTCAAATATTAGAACAAATATTGCTTCTCAAAGATCCTTCTCAGGCTACCTAGTCTAACATAGATCTCTATTATTTTCTCCCATAGCCTTTGCCCTTTTTTTTCATACTACTTTGCACTCATTTAAATAAGTTTACACATTTTATTTCCTTTTAACTGTATATTCTCTATTAGACTCTAAACTTCATAGCTGAGCATGGTGGCACATACTTGTAATCCCAGTTATTTAGGAACCCTGAAGATCACGGTCAGCCACAGCAATTTATTGAGGCCCTAAGCAATTTAGTGAGACCCTGACTCAAATAAAAAATAAAAAGGGCTGGGTTTGTGGCTCAGTGGTAAATCACCCCTGGGTTAAATCCTCAGGAAAAACATCAGCAGTAACAACAACAACAACAACAAAAAACTCTTAAGCTCTATGATGGCAGGGGATATGGCTATATTTAGATGTCTACTGTTTGTCTCCTAGCCTAGGGCCTGACACTGAATAAATATTTTCCTTTATGAATACTGAGACCTTAAAATTACTAAGTATTTAGTAACCTGCAGTTTTCACACATATGCTCAATGACTCCTTATATAGTCAGCCCATTATGTCTGCAGGTTCTGTATCCATGGACTCAACCAATCATGTATAAAAAATATTTGAAAAATAATTGCATATGTACTATACACATACTGTAAAAAGGGCTTGACCATCTGGATATTTTATTATCCGTGAGATGTCCTGGCACCAATCCCCAGTGCATACTGAGGCTTGACTGGATTTATTCTCTGAGATGTTTCAGGCAACATAAATATTAATGTTTCTGTTTTACAGAAGGTAAAACCTAGAGAGTTTAACTGTCTTGGCTAAGGTCACACAAGTAATGGGGCTTGGGTGGGAAGTCAGCACTTTTGATCATTTTGATCATTGCTGTTTCTACCAAAATGAAATTATAATGGGAAATCTGTGTGGGAAAAAGAGAGTACCCAGATTGCATACCTATGAAATAATCTCATTGTCTTGACATGTAGAACTATTTTGTTATCTTTCATTTTCATGTGGATGGTATAACATTCACAATTATTGACTTAATTTACCTTCATGTGATGGCAGAAAAATAATTCCCATTCCTTGATTTATAAATTTAAAATAATATTAAACCACTGACCAAACTGAATGGAGACAGTCTTTTTAAAAATAATATTTTATTTTTAAAAAATTTGTTCTAATTAGTTATACATGACAGTAGGATGCATTTTGACACATCGTACACATATGGAGCACAACCACTCATTCCTCTGGCTGTACATGGTGCATAGTCACACTGGTGGTGTAATCATACATGTATATAGGGCAATAATGTCTGTCTCATTTCTCTATCCTTCCCAACCCTTTCCCCTTTCCCCTCATTCCCCTCGGCCCAATCTAAAGTTCATCCATTCTTCCCTACCCTCCTCCCATTATGGATCAGCATCTGCTTATCTGAGAAAACATTTGGTTTTTGGTTTTTTGGGATTGGCTTATTTTGCTTAGCATAATATTCTCCAGCTCCGTCCATCTACCTGTAAATGCTATAATTTCATTCTTTAAAGTTGAATAATATTCCATTGTGTGTGTGTGTGTGTGTCACATTTTTTTAATCCATTTATCTGTTGAAGGGCACCTAGGTAAGCTCTTGTGAATTGAGCTTTTATAAACATTGATGTGACTGCGTCACTGTAGTATGCTGATTTTAAGTCCTTTGGGTATAAACCGAGAAGTGCTATAGCTGGGTCATATGGTGGTTCCATTCAAAGTTTTCTGAGAGATCTCCATACTGCTTTCCAGAGTAGTTGCACCAATTTGCAGTTCCACCAGCAATGTATGAATGTGCCTGTTTTTCCACATCCGCACCAACACTTATTGTTGTTTGTCTTCTTGATAACTGTCATTCTGACTGGGATGAGATGAAATCTTATTGATTTGCATTTCTCTAATTACTAGAGATGTTGAACATTTTTTTTCATATATTTGTTGATTGATTGTATATCTTCTTCTGAGAAGTGTCTGTTCAGTTCCTTCACCCATTTATTGATTGGGTTTTTTTTTTTGTTTGTTTTGTTTTTTGGTGTTAAGTTTTTTGAGTTCTTTATATATCCTAGAGATTATTGCCCTATCTGATGTGTGTGCGTGGCAAAAATTTGCTCCCAAATTGTGGTTCTCTCTTCACTGCTGAGAAGAAACTTTTTAGTTTGAATTCACCCCATTTATTGATTCTTAATTTTACTTCTTATGCTTTTGGAGTCTTGTTAATGAAGTCAAGTCCTAAGCCAACATGATGAATATTTGGGCCTACTTTTTCTTCTATTAGGCACAGGGCCTCTGTTCTAGTGTCTAAGTCTTTTATCCACTTTGAGTTGAGTTTCGTACAGGGTGAGAGGGGTTTAATTTCATTTTGCTACACATGGATTTCCAGTTTTCCCAGCACCATTTGTTGAATAGGCTATCTTTTCTCCAATGTATGTTTTTGGCAGCTTTGTCTAGCCATGAGATGACTGCATTTATGTGGGTTTGTCTCTGTGCCTTCTGTTCTGTACAATAGGTCTACATGTATATTTTGGTGCCAATACCATGCCATTTTTGTTACTGTAGTTCTGTAATATAATTTAATTTCTGGTATTGTGTTGCCTGCTGCTTGACTTTAAACTATATATATATATATATATATATATATATATATATATATATATATATATTAGTTGTTAATGGACACAGTACATTTACTTTATCTATTTTTATGTGGATTGAACCCAGTGCCTCACGTGTGCCAGTCCAGCACTCTACCACTAAGCCACAACCCCAGCCCTGCTGCTTCACTCTTCTTGCCAAGGATTGCTTTAGCTATTCTGGGTCTCTTATTTTTCCAAATGAATTTCATATTGCTTTTTCTAGTTCTATGAAGAATGTCATTTGGATTTTAATAGGAATTGCATTAAATCTGTATAACACTTTTGATAGTATATATTTTTAATTTAGAAACCTGGTCTTTTCTCTTAAGAGACGGAATGAATATATTGCTCACCTCAAAGACCAACTGCAAGAGATGAAGGCAAAAACCAACTTGGAGAATCTCTACATGAAAAGAAACACTGAACTTCAGATTTCCCAGACCCAGAAAAAATGTAACAAAACAGAGGAACTCTTGTTGGAAGAGATTGAGGTAATTACTGCTACATTAGGAAAAACAGATTGGTTGAGGTTGTAGCAAAATGGTAGAGCACTTGCCTAGCATGCACCAGGACCTGGGTTCAATCCCCCACTCACAGACAACCATTTGAATTGTCATTCCTGGTATAGTCTCACCCAAGAAAGGAAGGGGCAGAGGTAATTTTCTTCCATCTCCACAACCCTTAGGGTTGAAATTAAAGACTAAACAAGGTTTTGAATATTTGCAAGTAGAGATTCTGATGGGTAGACCTTTATTTGAGAGGAAAGGCTGGGTAAGTTAAAGGAATAGCCAGCAGGCCAGAAGGAGGAATAGCCATTACTAGCAGGTACAAGGATTCCTTGTTCTGAGACCTCTACTAATGGGGAGAGGTCACTTCCCATGTGGTGTTTCCAACCCTGTCAACAAACTTTTCTGGACCTAAAAAACTTGTGTCCTTGAAGCATTGTTTTTCTCTTTAAATTGACATCACTTTCCATTTTATTCTGGGGCCCTTGTATGTACCTGGCACAATGCTAGGACATGGCTCTGCGTTGTTTGTGAACGCGAATGGAGTTGAGTGGAACCAAATTGCAGCTCTGGAGCAATGCATTAACATTTCTGGGATCCCTGCTGGAAAAAGAATCCTGAACTGCTACTCTGGAGCTGCAGTCACCTGAAAACTTCTGATTTCCAACCTTGCCAGACAGAATTCCTGATATGTGATTCTTGTTTTTCTAGAAATTAAGAATGAAAACTGAAGAAGAGAACCGAATTCATATGGAGATTGAAATGTTCCTTAGAAAAGAACAACAGGTAAGTCACCAAAATGATTTTATCCCCTGATTAAATTTTTTTTTCACTTTAAAAGAGCAAAAAACTTTTAGTAAGGGAGGAAAAATCAACCATAATTTTAGCAGTCTAATGAATGAACTATAGCTTATATATCCTTACAGAGTTACCCACCAGAACAGTTATTTTTTTTGTTCTTCTTTTTTAAAATTTATTGGTTCTTTTTTAGTTATTCATGACAGTAGAATCCTTTTTGATAATAATTATACAAGCATAGAATATTCTAATTTGGGTCGCATTCTTGTGGATGTACATGATGGTGGGCTTCACTCTATTGTTTTCATATATGTATATGAAAAAATTATCTCAGATTCATTCCACTGTTGAATAGTTATTTTATATACCTCTAATTTGAGGACAGGTAAAATTTTGTCTCTTGCCTTTATAATTTAACTTATATAAGAAACTCTGTTTCTTGTTTCTATAATGCTTTGTAGTCATAATTTTAAAATAATGTTTTTTAATTTTTTAAATTATAAAAACAACATTCTCAATTGAGGGAAGTTTTCTTTTTTTAAGTTACCAATTGTTTTTTCATTCATTTTGTTTATGTTATTACAGTCTCTCTTTTTAAAATTTTTAAAATTTGTTCTAATTAGTTATATATAACAGAAGAATGCATTTTGACACATTGTACACAAATGGAGCACAACTTCTCCTTCCTCTGGCTGCACATGTTGTAGAGTCACACCAGTGTTGTAATCATACATGTATGTATACACAGGATGATAATGTGTGTCTCATTCCACTGTCCTTCCCATCCCCATACCCTCTGCCCTCATCTCACTCCCTTCTGCACAATCCAAAGTTCTTTCATTCTCCCCCCACCCCCATTATGGATCAGTATCTGCTTATCTGAGAAAACATTAGGCCTTTTTTTTTTTTTTGGTATTTGCTTATTACGCTTAGCATGATATTCTCCAGCTCCATCCATATATCTGTAAATGCCATAATCTCATTCTTCTTTAAGGCTGAGTAATACTCCATTGTGTATATGTACCACATTTTCTTTATCCATTCATCTGTTGAAGAGCATCTAGGTTAGTTCCGTAGCTTAGCTATTTCAAATTCTAAAAACATTGATGTGGCTGCATCACTATAGTATGCTGATTTTAAGTCATTTGGGTATAAATCAAGGAGTGGGATAGCTGGGTCAAATGGTGGTTCCATTCCTAGTTTTATAATTGTATATATAATTGTATAACTTTATAATTGTATATAATTGTTTTATAGATGTATAATTGGAATAGACGTACTTTCAGGCCATTATGATAGTAAGGGCCAAGTGGGAATCCTGGGACTTCCTTTTCTTACCAATATATTAAAGGCATTGCTGCAACCCTGATAGAACCGTAGATTAGTGATAACATCAAGAACTTGAAGCTGGGCGTGGTGTCGCATGCCTATAATCCCAGTGGCTTGGGAGGCTGAGACAGGAGGATTCCAAGTTCAAACCCAGCCTCAGTAACAGCAAGGCGCTAAGCAACTCAGTGAGACCCTGTCTCTAAATAAAATACCAAATAGGGCTGGGGATGTGGCTCAGTGTCAAGTGTCCCTGAATTCAATCCCTGCTACAAGAAAAAAAATACAAAAAAACTTGAAAGAAGCAGGAGTGATGATGCTTAACACACCCCCATTTGACTCATCTGTTTGGCTTGGGTAGAAGTTGAATGGATCTTGGAAAATGACAAGTAATCAAGTAGTGATGTTGCTTGTAACTACTATTCACACGTAGTATCTTTACTGGGACAAATCTTCAATGGCTCCTGGTACTTGGTATGAAAGTTGTTAACCTGATCAAGGCCCCTGTCTCCAAACCAGTTTGAAATCAACCACAACAACAAAATGCACACACACACAAATAACAACAACAACAACAACAACAAAGTCACCACCAGGAACAGTTTGCTTTCACTTGGCAGGGCCAATGGTACACCTTTATAGTCTGTCTTCAGGATTATGTCAATTATTCTGTTCTCTTCTGTAATGGCCTACATAGAGATTGCCCACTTTGACTTTTCACAAAACATGGCGTAGCCCACTGTATTAATGACATTATGCTGATTGTATCTGATGAACAAGGAGTAGCAAGAGTTTAGATGACTTTTAGTAAGACATGAACTAGAAGGTGGGAGATAAACTCCATTTCTGGTACCAATTCTGCATCTTTAATGATCCATTCAGATGACAGAAACCATACCAATAATTTGAACAAAGAAAGTTTAACAAAAGAGTTGTGAGCTATTAATAAGGACTAGCTATTAGGAAGGGATTAAAAAAACTCTAAAGAACGCCCTATGAGCTGGGTATGGGTGGCCTAATACCTGTAATTCTAGCTACACTATATGGGAGGATCACAAGTTTGAAGGTAGCCTGGGCAACATAGTGAAAGCCCATCATAAATAAATAAATAGACAAAAAATAAACCACCCTATGACTGATGGACAGTATCCAAGGAAGGAATAAACTTGGGAGGGTGGGGAGAGGAGGATCCTTCCCAATGTTATGATTCAGACCTTATTGGGGAGAGTGTGGCTGTGACCCCCTGGATAGCAGAGAAGCTTGTTGGGTTGCTCTAGTCTGAGCCAGTCACATTTGCAGAATAAACCTAGTGAGCAGGCAACTATGGACTTTGCTAAAAGTTCTTTTTTTTTTTAATATTTTTTAGTTGCCAATGGACCTTTATTTTATTTCTTTATATGTGGTGCTAAGAATCGAACCTAGTACCTCACACATGCTAGGCAAGTGCTCTACCACTGAGCCACAGCCCCAGCCCCATGCTAAAAGTTGTTTTGTTTTTTTTTTTAAGAATCAGATGAATACTCAATTATGAGATTTTTTTCTTTTTCCTCCATCGTAATCATGTTTTTTTCATATATTTGCTGAAGTTGAGTCATGTATTTAAATTTTTTTTAAGTTACAGATGTATACAATACCTTTGTTTTATTTTATTTTATAGTACCGGGGATTGAACTTAGGGGCACTAGATCACTGAGACACATCCCCAACCCTATTTTGTATTTTTATTTAGAGACAGGGTCTCACTGAGTTGCTTAGCACCTCACCGTTGCTGAGGCTGTTATCTGGAACTTGTCATCCTTCTGTCTCAGCCTCCCAAGTCGCTGGGATTATAGGTGTGTGCCACCTTGCCGGCTTTGTTTTATTTTTATTTATTTTTATGTGGTGCTGAGGATCAAACCCAGGGCCTTACATGTGCCAGGCAAGAGCTCTACCACTGAGCCAAACCCCAGCCCCTGAGGTTGCATTATCTTTAAACTCTTGAGAGCAGCCATAGCTGGTCATAGTGTATCTATCTGACATGCAGTAATGCTACTGGTGGTATCAGTAAAACATGTTGGTGAACGGGTATCATTGTGTGTTCAACCATATAGGATGAGCAGTGTGCCCTAGGTACCCAGAAAAGCATTCCAAAGCCTTGGAGAAACTAGACTTCCCGTCGGGTCCTCTAGCACCCTCTGCTGACAAAGTTAAACATTTTGCTAGGTGGCAGAAAAATGTTTAGGATCATCCAGTTTCACAGGGCAAGGCAGTGGAAGATGAATTTGGAACTGAGAGGCAACATACTGATAACAGCACAAATGGGGAATGTTTTCCTTTTATCATTAAGGATGAGGTTTACTCTGTAGGTTCCTGGTATATAAATTTTATTAAGGAAGTTCCTTGCTAACATTTTTTATTTTTTTAAATCAATGAATAGTCAATTTTATGAGATGACTTTTTTCATCCATTGAGATAATTTATTTTCCCTTTAACAGGTTAATAAAGTAAAAACACATTAATATATTTACTGATGATGACTCATGTTTACTTTTTTTGGATAAACCTTACCTGGTAATAATTTAATATAGTTAATATATTAATATATAATAAATTAATACATTTAATAATAGACCTTTAGAATTGATTTATAGACTATAGATTTCTTTTTTGCTATTAGAGTTATATTGCTATTAGAGTTATATTAGCTTGGCAGTGCAAGGTGGAAGTTTTCTACCTTTTTATGCTCTGAAATTTAAAATATAAATGGAACAAAACAGATTATACAGTCCTTAAAGCTTGGTAAAATTCAAACAATTTTTTTAGGATCTCTCTCTTTTTATCTTTTCTTGATATCTTTTTTTAAGGGGGGAGGTATTTGTCTGCCTTTTCAGTTTTTTAAAAAAAAATATTATTCATCTCTCTGTTAGGTCGGAAGTCGCCACCAAGTTGCTGCCACTGACCTAACATTCTCCACTTACCAAATCTCTTTCTCTCTTCTCTCTCTCTTTTAAAGATATGTCACCAATGACTGGTATCTTTATTTATTTAAAAAGGTTTTTATTTTTTATTTGCCAATGGACTTTATTTTATTCATTTATTCACATGTGGTGCTGAGAATCAAACCCAGTGCCTCAGCCATGTGCGGCAAGGGCTCTACCACTGAGCCACAACCTCAGCCCACCTAATATCTTGTTTTTATTTTGGTGCTGGGGATTGAACCCAGGGCCTTGTGCATGCAAGGGAAGCATTCTACAAAAAAACTAAGCTGCATCTCCAGGTTTTTTGTTTTTGTTTTGATACGGGGTATTGAACCCAGGGTGTTTAACCACTCAGCTACATTCCCAGTCCATTTTATTTTTTTGTTTTGAGACAGTGTTTCACTAAGTTCCTGAGGATGACCTCACACTTTTGACTCTTCTGCCTTAGCTTCCTGAGTTGCTGTGATTGGAGTTGTGTGCCACCATGTCTGGCTTTGAGTAATTTTTTGTAACTTGTCTTCCAAAAACACCTGATTTTAAGTGTTTTCAAGCTGTGCTCTACAGTCTCTTGCAAGTTTTAAATTTCCTCTATTTCTGTAGTTATGTTTTTCATCTTAAAAAATTTTGTTTCTTTTCTCCCTTTGTCTTACTGAAACTTACCACAGGTTTGCCATTTTACTGGTCTTAGCAAAAGACTGGCTTTTTCTTTTATTGAGCAGATTTTTTTTTTCCTTGTTACATTGGTTTTGGCTTTAATTTTAAGTAAATTTCTTATACCTCCTTTGAGCTTATGTTGCTAATCTTTGTTGTTTCCTAAACACTTAATTTGTTTTCAAATTTTATTATTTTCTAGTAAATGCATGTAAAGCAATATATTTTTAATAAAACAATATATTTTCTGAGTACTGTTTGACTGTAGATGATGGGTTTTGAAATAATCTTTACATTATCATTCCTTTACAAATGATTTGTAGTTCACAATTTTCTAGTTGTCTTTAGCATAAGTTTTTATTTAAAGAGATGTTTCTCTCTTTTTTTGAATTTTTTAAATATTTATTTTTTAGTTTAGCAGTGTATGTGGTGCTATCTTCATGGTGCTGAGGATCGAACCTGGGCCGCACACTGGCGCGCTACCGCTTGAGCCACATCCCCAGTCCCTAAAGGGATGTTTCTTAAATGTCCAAGTAGATGGAGATGGCAAGGGAGGAGTGCAGATTTTCTGTTACTCACAAAAACCTTAGATGTTTGTGCTGTGAATCTCACCACACCCAGTTGATGTCTTGGATTGTGTCTCCTAATGTAATGTGTAAATTTGCTTCTTGGAATTTATTGAGCTTTCATTTGGGCTTAGTACATGCTTATGTGACTATTCTATGGGTACTTGAAAAGAATGTGTATTCTCTGTTCGGTTCTAAATTTCTTTTAGTCTAGCTGTCAAATGCTTCATATTACTTATTTTGGTCTACTTGAGCTATTGATTTCAGCTTCCTAAGATAATTGTGGATCTATCAGTTTTTCCATGTGTTGGATCATTTTCACTTTCTAATATTCCAAAATATTATTAGAATATGAACACTCATAACTATAATATTTTTAAATTTAAAAAATTTTTTTTGGTGATACTGGGGATTGAACCCAGAGGTCATCTAACACTGAGCCAAACACCCAGCCTTTTTTATTTTATTTTGAGACAGGGTCTTGCTAAATTGCCAAAACCAGCCTTGAACTTGTGATCTCCCTGTCTTTTAGCCTCCTAAATAGTTGGGATTACAGGCATGCACCACCATATCCAATTTATAATATTTTCTTGTTTTTTATTATACATTTTTGTTGGTGCATTATAGTTGTACATTGTACATAATGGTGGGAATTTTTTTGTACAAATTCGTACATGCACACAATATATATAATTAGGCCAGTGTCACTCCCCAGCACTTCCCCCAACTCCCCTCTTCCTCCTCCATTATCCCTTTGCTCTGTTCTAATCTTCCCTTTTCATGGGGAATCCCCCCCCCAATCCTTTCCCTTTTCCTTCCCTAGCTTCCACATGAAAGAAAACATATGATTCTTTTTTTATAAGTTTTTAATATTTATTTTTTTAGTTGTAGGTGGACACAATATCTTTATTTTATTTTTATGTGGTGCTGAGGATTGAACCCAGTGCCTCGTGCAAGCTAGGCGAGCGCTCTACAACTGAGCCACAACCCCAGCCCCTGATTCTTTTTTAAAAAATGAGTTTATAAAAGAATGTTCTTAAGAAGGCAACAACTTTTGATTTGCCATTAAAAAAAGTTATGTTTCTTTATGCTATATAACAATGGTAATGTAAGAGAATATAGTTACAAGCTTCTTTTTGCTGGAATTCTCTCATAGTACAGTACAGTGTAATCATTTATGCAATGCTAGAATAAATTTTAAAAAAGTCTCTTCTTTGCTTCTCTTCAAAAAATGATGAATAATAACAGAAGATGGCCTGAAAAAGTCCATTTTTTTCTATTTATTCTGTAGTACTGGAGCCAGTATTTTTACCATCACAGGCTACAATTTCACTTTATCCATTTTAATAAGTTCTGTCACCTCTCTGAATTCAACATCATGCAATACAAAAGTCTGCACATTATCGCAGAATCTGTATGTATTTACAGAACCTCTGAAATTGACTCTGTTCCTGACCCTCTGAGCCAATGATAATTTATAGCCTTATCAAACTGAAGCAGAACTTGAAGGGCAAGTTGGGGGGGTGATCTGTTGAGACTACATAAGCTCATCTAGGCTCTCCTGAAGACTGTTTCCCAAAGTGGTATTTCTGTATAACTAATATGCCATGGCTTCTGAGGAAGAAACTTTTTCTTCAGGTTTGCATTGATGTCAGAAGTGGCACAGCCAGGAGCCTGCCTCAAACATGATTTTATTTATATATGTATAATAAAAAAACAAGAAGATATTATAAATTGGATATGGTGATACATGCCTATAATCCCAACTATTTAGGAGGCTAAAAGATCACAAGTTCAATAATATATTATATACATACATTATATATATAATTTGTTGATGGACCTTTATTCATTTATTTATATGCGGTGCTGAGAATCAAACCCAGTGCCTCACATGCGTGAGGCAAGTGCTCTACTACTGAACCTCAACTCCAGCCCTCAAACATGATTTTTGACCTTAACATAACTGTCCCTAGTTCTATCCATTGTCCTGCAAATTACATAGTTCCATTTTTATTTATGGCTGAATAAAACTCCATTGTAAATATCTACCACATTTTCTTTGTTCATTCATCCATTGACAGACACCGAGGCTGATTCCATAGTTTGGTTATTGTGAATTGTGCTTCTATAAACATAGACATGCATGTATCATTTTAATATGATGATTTTAATTCTTTAGGATAAATACTAAGGAGTGGTATAGCTGGGTCATGTGGTGGTTCCACGCCTAGTCTTTTTGAGAAACCTCCATACTGATTCCATAGTAATTGTAGTAATGTACAATCCTGTTAGGATTGCCTTAGGCCTGAGCCTAAGCAACTCCATTTTAAAAACTTCATTTTAAAAGACCTGCAGGCACACTCACAGAGTCCTCCAGTATGCCCTCAGGCAAGTTACTTCCCCTCACTCTGATAACAGAGTGAAGCCCCTGGCAGGCTGTCCTCGCCTGATAAGAGGAAAAGGCGAGAAGGTCAGGGTGGAGACCACCAGACCAGTTGGTGGTAAATGATGTCACTGAAAAGTCCGGTGGTAGCTGATAAGGATTGAAAGGGGGGGGCCAAAAGCCTCCAAATTTAGTGTACATCATAGAGCAAATAAACAGGGATTCAGCCAGCCGAAACAAGGATGCACTTTTATTTCCTTGCCTAATTGCTCTGGCTAGAATTTCTACCACTATATTAAATAGGAGTAGTGTGAGTGGACAAAGTTGGTTTTATCTCAGAGATGCAAGGATGGTTTAACATATGTAGATCAATAAGTGTAATTCATCACATAAATACAAGTTCAGGACAAAATCACCTAATCTCTAAAGAGATACAGAGAAAGTGTTTGACAAAAATTCAACACCTATTCATGATAAAAACACTGAAGAAACTAGGAATAGAAGAAACCTATCTCAACATCATAAAGGGTTTAATGAAAAACTCAAAGCCAACTTCATAGTAAATGGGGGAAAACTGAAAGCATTTCCTTTAAAATCTGGGGAAAGACAAGGATGTGTCCACTCTTAGTATCTAACTGGTGGCAAATAGCTTAAATATACATTTTCTGTTTCTTATACATATCTCTTTCATTTTCTTTTGCAACAGTGCATCTTTGAATCTTTCAGAAATGAGGTATCATCTTTCCATCACATTTCAATGCTAGGTTCTAGGTATATTATCTTAGACTCATATTCATTTCTTTTAGAATTTTGAAGACATTGCAGTCTTCTTGACTATTATTTAGTGCTGTCAGTCAAAAAGACATCTGATGTCATTCTTTATCCTAGAGAATTTGCTACTTACTTTTTTCTTTTTCACTTCAACTTCCCTTTCCCAGATATCAGGAACGTCCTCCTTCTATTTTTAATCGAATATACAATAAAGTGCACAAATATTGAGAGCATGATTTTACATTTACATATATTCACCCATGTAACCACCAGCTAGATTCAGAGAAACAGCATCCCAAAGGTCTCCCTCATGCCACATTTCCAAACAATAAAGCATCCATCCCCAGATAAGTAACCATTGTTCTATTTTCTGTCACTATAGAAAAGTTATTTTTTTCTTGAATCTCATATAAATGACATCATAAAGTATATACTGTTTTGTATCTGGTAGAAACCATGTTTTAATGTTCTTTCCAAATAGAAACTTGAGGAGAAACTGGAATTCTGGATGGAAAAATTTGATAAAGACACAGAAATGAAACAGAATGAATTAAATGCTCTCAAGGCTGCAAAGGCCAGTGACTTAACACACCTTCAAGACCTAGCGAAGATGGTAAGGAAGAAGTGGACAGGTGGTCCGAGAAGTGGTGGTAGCTAAGCTACAGTAGTTGGGGATGCTTTTTTTTTTGGTCAGGTAGAGGTATGCATGTAAACTGGGTAGGACTGTCCTTAGAGGATGATGATGGTAATAACAGCTAGTATTTGTATAGTGCTTACTCCGTTTCAGGCACTGACTGTTGTGGCTGTCTTAAATACAACTTGCTTAAACCCCACAACTCTGCAAAATATATAGATATTGTACTACTACTTCTACTTTATGGTTTCTGAAGACAATTTATAACTGATTTATTTTTTTAAAAAAATTTTTTGTCTTAATTGGTTACACATGACAGTACAATGACCTTGACATATCATACATTTGAATCACATGGGATACAATCTCATTTTTCTGAGTATACAGAAATCATATTGGTCATGCATTCACATATATACACACAGTAATATTATAATGTCTGTTTCATTCTACTATCCTTCCTATCTCCCCAACCCCTCCCCTCCCCTCCCATCACTTCTCTCTACCTAATCTAGGGTAACACTATTCTTTTTTTCCCCCTTCACATCTTCATACACGTATTTTGTATAACAATGAGGGTCTCCTTCCACCATCCATGCAGTTCCTTTTTTCCCTCCCTTTCCCTCCCACCCCTCTTCCCTATGTAGAGGTAATTTTCTCATGCTCTTCCTCTCTTCCCCATTTTGAATTTCTCTGATTTCTAAAAAGCTTTCTTACGTTTTTATTAATGAGTGTAGAGGTTCCTAAACTTCTCTTTTAAAAGAGCCATTTGAATATGCATATTATACCATTAAAAAAAAAAAAACCTCATTATTTTGAGGTCACTATTTACACATTTGAGTTAATTATTATTTCACTTTTCTGAAAGATTTTTAAATTTAAAATATCAAACTGAAAAAAATTTAATGTAAATATCCTAAGAATCTAGGAAGTTTTTTTCCTTTGGTTTATGTTTAGATCTATTAAAAGTACAGAGTTGACTGGGCCAATAGCTTAGTCAAGACCATACTGTAACATATGATTAATGTCTGCTTTTGTAGATAAGGGAATATGAACAGGTCATCATTGAAGATCGTATAGAAAAGGAGAAGACCAGGAAGAAGATAGAACAGGATGAATTGGAATTGAGGAGTGCCATAAAGGTAGAAAACTGTAGTTAGCATTTTGGGGTCATGTCAGTGCCATAGCTGGTGTAGGAATGAAAGCATTCTCATCCATTATCAAATACACAGCAGCTTTCTATGGAACAGATCTGAAGAGAAACAAGGCTTTTTGTTCTTATTAGAATTTGTCAACAGTCCATAGAGCAGAACAGGGAGACAGGTGACTTAGAAAAGGACACACCACAGCTCTTACTCTAGGGCAAAAGAGATAGGTGGTTGGCAGTGGGAGCAAAACCTAGATCCACAGGGCAAATTTGGGAATACTACTTCTAACCAAAACCAGTTCTTGACACAGTGATTCTTTTGAATCGCCTATTGTTTCTCAAAAGATGTTTTTAAATAAGCAGAGACTATTTGCTATGTTCTGATATAAGCTGCTTTCAAAAAAAGAGATAAGCAGGTTAGAGAAGAGATATTTTAGTTATATATGAACTTTTGTGTATGTTAGTAATGACAAAATTAGAAGGTCACAGATTCTGGGAAATATTTTCAAGAAAACTGTAATATAAAAATATGATCAGCTGGACTGAAACTGCTGTCTGGAGAATCATCCATCTCTCTGAAAGAGGAGCATCTGCCAAGAGCCTAGGGGGCTAACTATAGTTTGGCTTATATATTAGAGGATGCACTAAAAAAGGAAGCTGTAAAGGACATTCAGATATCCAAACCCAAGATATATAATTAGCAAGTATTTATCAAGCTTCTATGGGGTTTTCCAATTTGTCAAAATTCTTTTAGAGTATAAATGTAAGAACTAGCTGGAGACTACTTTTGTTTTAATTAGTAGATTTGCTCCTAGTTCTTAGGGCTTAATCTGATTTTAAAGTAGTTTAAGCTGGGCGTGGTGGTACACACCTGTAATCCTAGTGGCTCAGGAAGCTGAGGCAGGAGGATCCTGAGTTCAAAGCCAGCCTCAGCAACAGTGAGGTGCTAAGCAACTCAAGGAGACCCTGTCTCTAAATAAAATACACAATAGGGTTGGGGATGTGGCTCAGTGGTTGAGTGCACCTGATTTCAATCCCTGGTACCCTCCAAAAAATAAAGTAGTTTAGACTTTATTTTTGGTCCTAGGAATTGAATCCCTAAGTTGCTTAGGACTTCACTAAGTTGCTGAGACTGGCTTTGAACATGTAATCTTCTTGCCTCAGCCTCCCGAGTCACTGGGATTATAGGTTTATGTCACCACACCTGGCTTTGAATTCTTTCTGAAAATAAGAGGATTGACCCTTTAGTGAATTCCTAAAGATAAGAATGGATGTAGTGGTGCATGCCGGTAATCCCAGCTCCTTAGGAGGCTGAGGCAGGAGGATAACAAGTTTGAGGCCAGTCTCAGCAATTTAACAAGACTTTCAAAATAACAAAGGGTTGAAGATGTAGCTCAGTGGTACAGCACTTACCCAGTATGTGCAAAGCCCTGAGTTCAATTCCCATTCAACACTACAAAGAAAGAAAACAAAACAAGAACCCCCCCCCCCCAAAAAAAAGACAAAATACCAGGAAGTCTATTAAAGTTGTCTAGACTTATTCATACATTTTTGACAGAGTCTAACATCCCTTTTAGATCAAGTCATTGTTAGGTATGGGAAGCTTGGACCTTCATAAGGGAAGCAGTACCAGGGAGTCATGTTTCTGATATGAAGGAACAACTGGCCTAATCTGATTTAATTTTACTCCAGAAGAACTTCGCTTTTGAGGCCATGGCTGAAGCTCTGAGTCCTGCACAGTATGGGAGCATTAGTAGTGATAGTGTGCCTGGAACTTCCATGTCTCAGATGGAAACCACTCTAATATAGGTTACTGTGTTGAACAATCCCCTTCGGAGAGTCAGGCATACTGAGTTGTACTTCTTCCCATTTCTCTTCTAGCTCCAGGCATGGTGGCGAGGCACTGTGGTAAGGAGGGAAATTGGAAGTTTCAAAATGCCTAAAGACAAAGATGATAGCAAGGATGCAAAAGGTAAAGGTAAAGGTAAAGGTAAAGACAAGGACAAACGAAGAGGCAAGAAGTGAATAAGCCACCTTTTATCCTTTCCTGTGATGTTCTGGAGATGAGAAGGAAGACTTGGCCATCACAAATACTTCACTTCAGGTTGTTTATGCAGACATAAACAACAGTTTATGCAGATCGCCAGATGATTTCACTTTGTATTAGTTTTCAATCCGTGAATTAGCTATTGAATTTGTGTTTCTTCATATTTTGATTTTGATGTGAAGAACAGTTTTGAGTAGACTTGTAAAGATCTTGGTCTTCTCACCAGAAAAGAGTTCTTGGGCTTGGTTACAGTGATGCATTAAAACTTCAGTAATTCCTGTAATGTCTCAGATTCTGATTTTTTCTAATTTGTCTAAAGTGAAAAAAACGCATATGAGCAAAAGTGAAGTATTTGCAGAAATTACAAGGTGATGTTTTATAAAGTTATGTAGCATAACATACACATGGTAAAATATAATGAGTGTTGATTCCTCTCTTTAGATTTTTTATTATCACTTTAGTGTTTTCATGGCTGGTGGTGGCATGGAATATACACCTTATGATAAACTGTTCCCACAGCTTTTCTGGGAATAAGTAGGGATATAAGTTATAAATACAAGATTGAAGTGGAATGTTAGAATACATAGCCCACAAATGGTAAACATGAGGAATAGGTTTTCTGGAAGACTAATTTGCAGTATGTAAAAACCCAGCCTATGCCTGACACATAGTAAAAATGTCATTCTCCCTCTTAAAAAACAATAAGACAGGGCTGGGGACATGGCTCAGTTGGTAGGGTGCTTGCCTTGCATAAACAAGGCCCTGGGTTCAATCTCCAGCACCACAAAACAAACAAACAATGAGACCATGAGGTCATTCTTGCCTTGATTAATTAAAACAAAATATTGGGTACAGTGCAGCTGATCATTTCTGAGAGGAAAGTTGTCCTAATGTGTCACATATTTCATGAATTAATCCTTCTGTCCAGCTCTAATTATAGGGAAGTCTTGATATCTCCACTTCCTTAGGAAAGTAAATTTTAATTTCAAAGGCCTATTTTAATAAAATTATGTTCATTGGTGTTCCTTCAGGGAATTTAGAGACACCCTTTCCTTGATTCTTCTTTGCCAAAGAAACCAAGCTACTTTAGATATGCACACTTTCAAATGTTTATTACAAGTTACTAAAGTGTTGTTTTTTATTTTAATGTCAATGTGTAAGGTGACATACAGGCAATTTAAAATAACATACATGATATTGACATATTTATACTTAGAACTTATGCAATATATTTACATACAAATATAGGACAATGTTTTACAAAATCTTTTACTAATTACATGTTTGTAACATTTTCAGAAATAAAATGAAATCTGCTGTAAACCATCTCACTGCAATGTGTATATAAAAAAGGCTTCTAAATATCCATGTTTTCCTTCATTTCTATAACCACTTAAGAACTTAGTTTAAAAAAAATTCATCAGACTCATCAGTATCATCACACATCATTAGTCACTGCTGACTGGAGGAAGCAAGAGAAATTATAGACTCCTTGATTAGGTATAAGGCTGTATTTTAGAAAGCTGTTAAAGAAAGTGACCTACTACTAAGCCTTTTCCTACTCTGTATTCTAGCCAGATAAAATCCCCTCCTCCCACGAGTTGTTTCCAGACCTAGTTATTACAAGAGAATATTGGTTTGGAGTGTTTAAGCAGAGATGCATTTCGAACCCTGGAAACTGCTGACATAAAATCTCTGTAGGTGGCAAGGGCTGCACCAGGTAGGACTTGGCCTGTTCACACTTCCAGTAGTGGGAAGGTCACTGCTTCAGGTTAGGAAGGAGTGTGACAAGGCTACTTTCATCTTACATTGGAGTCTAGCAAGGTTGAATGTTAAACTGAATTGTTCTTTCCAATTTAAAATCAAAAGGTACAAATGAAACATTATACAAAAATTCTCCAACAAAAATGCCATGATTTTTGCATGCTAACACAGAAAAAATTCAATACTTGATATTTTTCTTCATTCTCAGTCAAAACTGTACATCATTTTTTCTAATAATTCAAATACAAATTTGAATTAGTTTGATAAAAATACATCAAGGTTTCATATTATGTGCAAAATCTGAAATAAGTTGAAATGTAGCTCCACTTATTCCTATAGAAAAATTAGTTGCAGATATTGCGAGTGCTACATTATGTAATGTCTTCTATACTTATGCACCATATAATATGTTAAAGTCTACAATTTGGAGATTGTACTGAGGTTTAATGGTTCAACGTTGACTAGAAGGAAAAATATCTGTAGTTAAAAAATACAGCTAAACTCTAAACAAGTTATATGGTTGGTGAGTCTATTTGGAATTGTAACTCTAATGGGGTCTGGCTTAAGCACTTATAAGACATTTTTACTTTTGTTCTGTGAGGACCTCGAAGGATTGGGCTTTGGAGTTTAGGTGTTTTATGTATATATGTAACATATCCATATATATCCAGTGCCAAAATATATATGTATATACACTTGTGTGTATATATGTATATGTATGAATGTATACATACTTATGTGGTTTAAACTTGAATTAAAGGCTCCTGGTTTTGTGTTGTATACATATACATGTATACACATACATACATATGTGTGTGTGCATATATATTTTTTGGTATTGGAGACTGAACCCAGGGATGCTTTGCTCCTGAGCTACATCCCCAGCCCTTTTGATTTTTGAGACAGGATCTCACTAAGTTGCTTAGGGCCTTGCTAAGTTGCTAAGGCTGGTCTTGAATTTTGAATCCTCCTGTCTCAGTCTCCCAAACTACAGGGATTACAGGAGTGCACCACTATGCCCGGCTATGGTACATAATTTTAAACTTGGACAAAATGGTAATGTTCTAGTGAACCCAAATCTGTGCAGGAATAAGGAAAAAACAAACATTATTTTTACCAAATACTCAAAATGATTTTGTCCAAAACTATTAGATGCTGCATTCACATGATAAAGAAGGAAAACATTTATGTTAAATGCATGCAATGATAAAGAAAATCCAAAATAGTTAATAAGTAGAGAAAAAAATCCCTATATAACTAGTATCTTTACTTACTCTATTTATCTGGTTTACAAAGGCAGTCAACACCAAAAGATATCGCTGACAACTAAAAAGGGCTCAAAATACAGGGAAGAAAAACCTATGTGGTTTAAACTTGAATTAAAGGCTCCTGGTTTTGTGTTGTGTGAGCCAGTGGCCCTTTCCCTCCACCCACAATTGGGTATATAAGGCACTAATGGTGGAGCTCAGTGAGGGTAAGACAAAGACAGGAAGCAGTTTTTAAGATGCCCTAAATGCTTTCTTTCAGTCATGGAAACTGGCAGTTAACCTGTAAGAATATAAAGAATGTGGCTTTTTTCTTCCTTTTCATTTGCTTTTTTATAATCTTCCATTAGATGGGGAGCTGGATGTGTTACATTGCTGTGACTGGAATATATCTGCAGGTCCAGGTGTCCTGGGAGCAGCTTGGGGCTAAGGGTGGCTCATTGAAGTTCATGCAAATGATTCAGAGTGGTACATGTTACCAGCTTAAGGACTTGGAATCTCAGGATAGAGTGCTTATTTATTTAGATAATAGCAGGATGATACGTAGAACCATCCTCAGGAAGAAGTTGATGTGGTAATGGGCTGGAGTTGGAGGGGGGCTTAGTACACTGGCTTCAAATACAACAGTATCGTTTCTCTGTTTAGCTATTTAAAATCTAGGCCTTCTATATTATTTGAATTTTGCCTCTAACAGAATAGTCTATGTCATCATAATACAGCTTCTGATTTTTAAATGTGGCTGAAAAATGCAGGGGGCAGGCAGTGCCCCCACAGAACCACACAACTATCTGGCTTGGAGCAGAAGTCTCCACTAATTAAAAATGGGAATGTGTTGAAAATACAGATTTCCAGGCCTCACCCCAGACCTAGTGAATGTGAATCTGTATTTTAACAAATGCTCCAGGAAATTCTAAATGCATAGCTGTTTAGAATTCAGTGAACCCTAGATGTCTTGGGAACTGGTAAAGATAATAGCATGTCTGTGCCTTCAAGAGAGCCAAATATCTTAGAAGGTGTTTGCTGTGGTGTTTGAAATAAGCCTCTAGGAAAGCACAGCCAGTTTAGACTTCAGTGTTGGGTTCTCAATAATGAGAAGTTTCATGAGAAAACCAACTGGGTCTTAACCAAAAAAAAAAAAAAAATCAGTGGAAATGGACATAACCTCCCCTAAAATGGAGAAATGAAGTAAAACATTCCTGGTAGGAATCATGGAAACAGTTCCTTCTAAGAACACGTTAAGAGCTTTGTTTGATATCAGACGGCTGACAGCAGCAATCTCGTTGTCCTGCTCCTTGTTTGGGTCAGGCCAATGCCAAGGTCCTGGGAGTCCTTAAACAGCAGATAGTTGGTGCTGCTGCTGCTTGGGAGGTGCAAGTTCCAGGAGAGCCTGGACGGTCACTGCCACCTGGCTCAAACCTTTCTCTTCTAAAATGTGGAGAGGCAAACATAATTGCTCCTGAAATGGGACAACGTAACATAAAACAAAAGAGAAAAAGGATGAACATCACTTCTAGAACTAAAAGTAAAAAATAAGTAGTTCTCTACCTCATAATAATCAAGTGAGATATGAAAAGTCTGTACTTGAGAAACGGACCTCTGTTAATATGAGTTAGACAGAGACGGTGCCTGACACTGTCACTTTATTAACACAACTAAAAGTACACACAGAACATTTTCAAAACTGGAAAATTGAGAAGCAGCATACATTTATACATACAACAGAGGAAGAACAACAGTATGCTATGGAGTGAAAGCAATATCCTCTATTGCTGATAAGCAAAAGCCCAATAGGCAGGTGAAAAATAATAAAACAAATTCCAAATTATGAGATGGCTCAAGCCTAAAAAGATACAACATTTTAGGAGAAAGCACTTTCGGGATTACATGCCATGGGAATACAAAATGGCTCATGATGTAACTTAGACTGCAATGAAAAGGGGAAGCCCACTAGCTACATTATAATTCTGATTCTGGGTTCTCAGGTCAGGCAGGGATAAATGGAAGAAATAAGTGTATCTAAACTCTTTTGAGATTTAGATGTATTTGAGAAACTTTCCCCTAATTTTGGATAGGTCATAGAAGGCCCAGTATGAATTAGAAATCTGAATTATAAAATTAAAAAGGAGTTGTATTTAAAAAGGTAATGTGTATCATATCCTGGAATTTAATGGGTTAACTACACTGGTATTATGAGAGCTTAGTCACTAATAATGACCAATATGTGAAAAGTGTTTACAAGTTTGCTAATTGTTTTTGCCTCATTAACTTGTTTGGTTAATTATTTCTTGTAAACAGAGAACAGAAAAAGGCAATTCTTAACCATAAAAATTATCATTGGGAGGGCTGGGGTTATGGCTCAGCTGTGTGAGGCACTGGGTTTGATCCTCAGCACCTCATAAAAATAAATAAGCAAAATAAAGGTATTGTGTCCATCTACAATTTTTAAAAAGTTTCATTGGTATTTCTCTTTAGGCTAAATATTCAGAAAAAAAAAAAAAAAAAGAAATTGCTCTCCAAAAAAGAATTCTGGTTCCATTAAAAGAGAAGTTATAGTATTTATTAAAGAAAATAACAGGATTTTTCTCTGCTTTCCACTGGCACTCACTATATTACTAGAATATTTTAAAAAACCAGTTGTAATAAAATATATAGTAAGTATTTATTTTTGAGGCAGTTATTGGTACTTGTACTCCTTAATTACTTTCTTTTTAAAAATATTTTAATAAAAACAAGGTAATTGTAATCTTTTGACTGACTAGAACTTAGCAACTTTGTATAAATACTTTGAAAAGGACTGCAAGTATGGCTTAGCTGTGTTTAAAAATGAACTTGCATGGTGTTTTATCTTCTGGAAAAGCATTTCCTTCAGGACTGTTTAGGGGCTCTCTTGTCAGCAGCACTCTGTAATCTGTACGGCCCCATGGTTCACACTTTTAATGGCTCATGCTTTCTAGACACACAACTAACTTCCAGCTGGTTAGAGGGAATGGTGTGTGTTCTCAAGACAATACACAACTACTTTCCTAAACCACACATGATAAACCACACATAAGCATGTGTGTTTTTTTAACAGGTGATTTTTTTAAAGGGACAAAACTCTGAGAATAATCATTGACTAAGACACCTTAAATATAAAACAAGCCCAAACTAACCCCCCAACTCTGGAAGGCACTACTGTAGAAAACTGAGGTTATCACAAGTGTTCAATATTTCGGTATTAACATTACACAGTCTTTAAAAGTGTTAAAATAACTGCCCTATTTAATGTGGAAGAAAACCAAGCAATCAGACCCGCAGGCTGAATTCTTCAGCAGCATGTTACATTCCTTGCAATCTCCCTTCATACTTTTGTTAACAGAGTTCAGAAGATTTCTGAAGGTTCAGAAACACCATTATGAGAATTAGAATCTGAATAAGGTCTGTTAGCTAATATACTAAGTATTCTGAAAGAGAGACAATATTTATTGATGGGGGCACAGAACAAAGACTGCAGCTGAGTACTTTACCTGCCAAATGCTTCAATTTAATCTCCCCAACAGCCTATATACAAATTCACCTATAAGGATGGTTCAAATATATTAGAATTTACATAAATCCCAAATAGCGTTCTAGAAGTGAACTTCGGTTACATTTAACAAGCAAAGTTACTGTGGACAAGTACCTACTCCTGCTTGATGTGTACTGCATATATACATATTTGGCTCAGAACAGCAATATAGGGACCTATATGATCTTTAAACTGAACATTATGACCAAATTAAAATTATTAACATTACATGGCCAGCACCTTCCTATGTCCAGAAATTATAGCCGTAGACAGATCTTTAAGGGCAAATTCAGGATTTCGGGGCTGTAATATAAGTGACAAGGTGCCCCCAATCCAGAAGGGTGCCACTGTTTTCCTCATGCTCAGTAACTCACAGTTTTAATACTCAAGTAGTGTTAAGTATGGAAAAATGGCCAGATGGGCATTTTATTTTGTCATTTGGAAATAAAGTTCTGTGTGTCATATTTCTAACAACAGATTCAGGATTGAATTAGTACAAATGCACTGGCATTTATGATAAGAGAAACAAGGCCACAGGGCAGGAGAATGGATACATGACCAGGAAAGAAAATGCTAGTCCTTTATTCACTGTTAGCCATCATTAATGTTTACTAAGGTGACAGGCTGCTCACCTGGACCTGGAAGGACTTATCTACTAAGGTTAACTCTCTGAAGGCCAGGGCAGGGAGAAATATGTAAATAATGTGTCTTTGTGAACAACAAACCTCCTTTGCCAAGTACAGGAATGAAGTGGAGAATCACTGGAACACAATCTTTCAGCTACAGGGGGAGGACCCAGTAATAAAGCATACAGAGAGTTAACATTAAAGTACAATAAAATGCCACAAAGCCCAGAAGTTGGATAGACAGACAGACAAAACTGGATTCTTCTGAATGTGCCCCAAGAGAAAGTAGTGTTTCAACAGTTCTTTTAACGCTGAGATTTAGCTGAAGGATGTCGGAAGGGGAACAAAGAATGTCCTGTCCAAATTGTAAGCAAGAAAGGAAAACAGAAAAACAAAGTCAGTGGATCAGAAATGCAGATTTGAGTATAGAATTCAGTATGATCATCTCAATCACATTCAAAGGTACACATCCTGTAACGTTTTTATTTATGATGAATAAAATGATAAAAAGCAAAAACTACAATCTTCTTTGTATAGAGACTGATTTACTACTAGATAGTATAATAAAATTTGCTTATCTGCTTATTGGTGACTAGTATGAACATTGAGGATACACTGAACGGAACTGGATGCTGGCTTAGAGTCGTGTGAAGCCTGAGAGTGGGAGGGCCTTCTTCCCTCCCCACTAGTGAAGAAGGAAACGGCAGAAAGCACAGACAAAAATTGGGGTGGGCTGAGCAGGAGGAACTTTTCATGTAAGTCAGGTAAATCAAGAGGGTTCAAAGAATGAGGAGAGCTAATAATTAGGGGACATTTACCACCTAGCAGCCAAATGTGATGAATGACTTGAAGTTTTTCTAAATATCAGTCAAGTCCAAGCCTAATTCACTAATGTACAAAATGACTACAGAGCTGCATGGGGCCTTGGAGATCTCTGCCATTTCAGAGATTATTAAATAAATAAAAACGTTAATGGACTTGACAAAAAGAAAAATATTTATTAATACATAACATACAATAACTCTTGGATATACGATACTGGACTCAAATATAAGTTCTTATCATCAACTAAAGTTTTTCTGAATAACATTTAATAAAAACATAGTAATAAAGTGAATAACCATATACTCAACCTCATCAGAGGATTTAAAGTCACCTATTCTTTCATAGTTCATTCATAATTTAACTTGTATAATGCTTTAAGAAAAATTGTTTTTCTCTATACATACTACCTGGGCATAGAATCTGTCAGATGTTAATAATATTAAGTTTTCTGTTTAAAATTTTCAAAAGCAGTCATCATGATTAAATACTCAATTTTCTTTTCAAGTCCAACAGAGCAAGTGAGGATGCATAAGTGAAGGCCAGAATGCCTAGAAATATAGGAGGACAAAGGAAGAAGAGGAGATAAAGGGTGGCAGAGGGATCTGAGAATGCCCATTGGTGTTTAAACCAGTTTGTGTATTTATTCATTTTCCCTTAGTTTGTCTAGACAAATGACTAATTTTTTAGCAAAAAATTTTTAGTGTAGCAGGAAGCATCTAAAATTGGTGGTGGTGGTGGTAGTGGTGACAGGAACTTGGGTGGAAGGCAAAAGGGGAGAAGGAAGTGGTGGTCTATGTGGAATGCCCATTTCCTCTTTCTGATAGGGGAGGAAGGATGTGTTAAGAACCCCAGTCTGACCACTTTGGAAAAAATCCAGTCTTTTAAAATTATATTTTTTCTATCTGTACCTGTCTTGATATGGCATAGCTCTGGTACAAACAGAGGTTGCCAGCTCATAATAAATACTATTAACCAATGCTTGGAAAATGCTGACTAAAATGCATGTTTATTTGTTTGTTGAGTACTGGGGATTGAATCCAGGGGTGTTTACCACTGAGCTACATCCCAAGTCCTTTTTATTTTTTATTTCAAGACAGGGTTTTGCTAAGTTGTTTAGGGTCTTGCTAAATTGCTGAGGCTGGCTTCAAACTTGTGATCCTCTTGCCTCAGCCTCCCAAGTCACTCAGATTACATTAGTGGGTGCTCCCATGCCTGGCTTAAATGCATGATTTGAGGCACACTGTTTTTATACTTTGTTGCGTGATGGAACATTCTGAAAGAATTCCAGGTTAGGGATTTTAAATGTGAGAGAGAAGATGGGTCTATAAAGCCCACTGGGAAGGTATAACATTTATAAAAGTTGGTGAACAGTACTTTTAATATAAGCTAAGTCAGCATGCCTTATTTTTTTTCTGTGGCTCCCATTCTCTATACCAACCTATATCAGTCAAGTCCAAGTCTAATTCACTAATGTACAAAATGAATACAGAGCTGCATGGCGCCTTGGAGATCATCCAAACCTGCCTTTTCAGAGATTATTAAATAAATAAAAACATTAATGGACTTGATAAAAAGAAAAATATTTATTAACACATAACATATAATAACTATTAGATATACGATCCTGGCCTCAAATACAAGTTCTTTGAATCTCTTATTCAAAGACACTGTGGTATGGAACTGGAGCAGGTAGTAGGCATGTTTGTATCAGTAGGAATATCTTTGGTACAAAGAAAGGAAGAATTGAATGTTAACATGCACGTATGAATATCAGAAACTCTTAATATGGAGAAAAAAAATGCCATTTTTTTAGATACCATATGAATGCTCTTTTAATATATTTAAAAATGGCTTGATAAGCATTTATAAAACAATAATATTAAAATAGAAATTTTGATTAAATTTATTATTATGGAAGCTTCAGTTCTACCTCATGTTAAAAAGAAGGAGGGAAAAAAAAAAAGCCAGCAAAAGAAATAAGTGCAAAATAAAAGAAAACAATCATGTGAATTCATGCTGGCTAATATAGATGTACTAGGGAGCTGGACTCTTTTCTACTTTGTAACACAAGAAAGAGCTGAAAGAGAAGGTTGTTCACTGGATAAGTGATGCTGTGGCCTTCTCAGTTCCCGGTTAGAAAGACGTATGGTAAACTGGGTGAAGAAAGTCACTGTGAAAACTGCTAGAACAGAGCTTGACTCTGAGAGCGATCATGGCATTCTTGATGAGCCCAGTTTCTGACAGCTAATCAAAGAAGGTGATAGAAAAGAGGCAGTTGGACAATATATAACAACTGTAGGGGCCGAGAGTGTGACTCAGTGGTAGAGTATGTGTTTAGCATAAATGCAGCCCTAGGTTCAATCCCCAGTGTTCTCCTCTCCCCAATGGATCAAATGGCACCAAGTTGTTTATTCCTTTTTATGTCTACATATCACATTATTAAATATAATATTCCTTAAGAATGTCATCCTTAGTTACTTTTTAAAAAGATAACTGAATAAACAGTGTATCCAGGTGTTTTCCTTAATTACATCCATAAATCAAGTTTAATTATTTGAACTACTGAAGGGTAAGAATATTAAAATAACTGAGGAACTTGGAGGCAATAAATCCTAGCAGCAGAACAGATGCTTGGAAATGGCAAGTTAAACTCTAAGCTATTAGAGCTTAGTAGAAAAACTTGTAAAATCTGAATGAAGTCTGTAATTTAGTTAACAGTATTACTGTTACAATGTTACTTAGTTTGGACAACTGTACCATACCTATGTTAGATGTTAATATTGGTGAAGTATACATAGACACTCTCTGTCCTATTTTTCTAAGATTTCTGCAAGTCTAAAATTACTTCTTAATTAAAAATTTTTAGTATTAAAGAAGGTGTTAAAAACTGAAGCCAACTGAAGCATTCTCACTCTGAGATTTTGAAAGACAAATTCTGTTGTTTGTATAGTTTTATACAAGCCAAACAGCTAGTTGGGATGTTTAGGAAAACAGAAAGTTATGTTTCATTAATTACTTATTATAATACAATTATTTAAATTTATGTATTTATGATTTCTTTGTGAGGTCCTGAGAAATAAGGAAAACAATAAAAATATTGATCAAAAGAATATCAATTGACTCTTATAACACAATATCATGTTAGTAATTACCAACTTAGTTCAGAGTCCTATAAGTCTAGTGCATTTCTGATAAGATTTTAGGACTATAATGCCTAACTCTTTTAAAAAGGCAACACATACAAAAAAGATAATTTATTACCTGAGGTACACCAATTTTTCTGCAAGCTTCTAGGAAATTCTCCACATTTCGCCTGCATTTTGCCATTGTTAATTTAGGCTATAAAAATAAAAGGAGGAAAATTATAATGTTATCAGGAAAGGTCTAAAAATTTACCAACTTTAAAAATACTCTTGCCAATTGATTCATATATTCACAACACTATAGACTGAGGGGGTCAGTAAACATTTTCTTTAAAAGAGGATCAGATCATAAATATTAGTCTTGAGAGTCGTAAGAACGGTTACAAATAATCAATTCTGCTACAGGCTTGAAAGTAACCACAGGCAACATGTAAACAAGTAATTGTGGCTGTGTTCCAATAAAACTTTGTTTATAGAAATAGGTGCTGTCCTGTGGGTAGCTGTTTGACACTTTTTTTTTTGGGGGGGGGGGTATACCAGAGACTGAACTCAGGGTCATTTGACTACTGAGCCACATCCCCAGCCCTACTTTGTATTTTATTTAGAGACAGGGTCTTGCTGAGTTGGTTAGCGCCTCGCTGGCTTTGAACCCATGATCCTCCTGTCTCAACCTCCTGAGCTGCTGGGATTACAGGCATGTGCCACGAAGCCTGGCTGTTTGCCACTTTTTAAAATAAACATTTTGCTTTAGTTTTGAAAGGTAAGTACTAAACAGAAAAATTTTTAGATGGATAGTTTTAAATTTTATTCTATTTTCAGACAATGTACACTAAATAAATTTAAAAGAACAGCAAAATTAATTACCCATTGCTCATCACTCAAATATATCCACAATTAACAACTGGTTCATTTTTCTTTTACTATATGTTAAATATAACAAAAAAGAAAAAAAAAAAAACTCAGAGCTTTACTCATAAATATACTATAGATGCATCATGTTCTCACTGACAACATCTGAATTTTAAAAAACATTTTAATTTTAGAGGTTAGGGCTGTAGCTCAGTGGCAGAGCGCTTGTCTAACATGTGAGGCACTGGGGTTGATCCTTAGCACTGCATTAAAAAAAAAAAAAGCATGCTGAACATCTACAACTATAAAAAAAATTTGATTTTAAAAGGATGGGTCAGCGGACACAGTGGCACACATTTGTAATCCTAGAGGTCTTGGGAGGTTGAGGCAGGAGGACTGGGAGTTCAAAGCCAGCTTCAGCAACTTAGCAAGGCCCTAAGCAAATCAGCAAGACCCTGTCTCTAAATAAAATATAAAAAAGGACTGGAGATGTGGCTTAGTGGTTGAGAGCCCCTGGGCTCAAACCCTGGTACAAACAACAACAACAACAACAAAAAGACTGGGTCAATTCGGAACCCATTTTCCAAAGTATGAAAGGTTCCTATAGGAAATTTCCCCAGTTACAACTAGTAAGCTTGTTTTTCTGTAAAGATCTCTTATGGCTAGAAATAAAGAGTTATATTAAGTGATTTAAAGTTTCAATCAAGCTTTTCACCTGTGGGTTATCATGGAAAATAATATTAGAAAACAAATATGAATACCATTTTTCAAAATGATTAACATATTCAATTGTACAAATTCATTGGTTGGTTTACAGTATGTTAAAGCATCAGTCAGGGAAGCCAAACGTTTGCATGGAATCATACCTTTGGGTTTTTATTACTACAGTTAACAGATGGAAGTCTATATCATCTTTAGGGGGAAAAAAAGGTTTCATCTGTAAATATATGGGTTTTCTTCAAAGAATGCCACATCCCCAGCTCTTTTTATATTTTATTGCTTAGGGCCTCACTAAATTGGTGAGGCTGGCTTTAAACCTGTGATCCTCCTGCCTCAGCTTCCTGAGCTGCTGGGATGATAGGTGTGAGCCATCATACCTGGCTGATTCCGATTTTTTTCTCAGGTTGTCTTCCTATTTTATGGTTCATTCAGTGAGCTCTTCCATCATGGTACTGGAGATTGAACTCAGGGGCACCTGACCACTAAGCCACATCCTCAGCCCTATTTTGTTATTTTATTTAGAGACAGGGTCTTGATAAGTTGCTTAGCGCCTCACTTTTGCTGAGGCTGGCTTTGAACTTGCGATCCTACTGCCTCTTGAGCTGCTAGGATTACAAGCACGTGCCCAGGCCCAGCTGTAATGGTTTTTGATATGGTTTAACAGCATACCTCTAAGAATGTGAATCATACTCCTTAACACCTACACCTACCGAACAACTAAACAGCATTTTATCAAACATCTTGAACTTCCCAAGATAACAAGAAAGATGAATTAGAACTTAAATGGTTGCAAACACTTAAAAGTTATAGACACATGACTTTCTGATTTATTTTCCTCTCTCCAAATCAGAACGACAGCACACAATCTTTATCTGCCCATAAATAAGTTCATCATCTATCTGAATTCTTTTACAATGCTTGATATAAAACCTCCCTTTATAATGAGAAATTCATTTTTTGAATTTGGGGAAAGAAACTGATTTGTGTACTATATCAAGAAACTCTTTTTCAAGTTGTACATACACTGAAATTAGCTAGCTCTCAAAGAATTATAAGAAATTAACATGTATGAATGTAGCAATAAAAAACTGCTGCAGTTTTAATTCGTATTTGGTTTTTAATTTTATATTCTCATCACAAAAATTATTCTAAGAAAGTATACTACAAATCTTGCTGGTGGTTTTAAGAACAAAATAAGGGAAGAAACTGTCTACTATGAGGAAGGAAAATGTATATGAAGGAAAAATAAGTGTAAATATTTATGCTGAAAACTGTTTCTATAATTGGAATTTCATAAAAGCAATATTGATTTATTCTTAGTAATCATGATCACAGTTATCACAGTTTGAAAGAGGGTTGTTTGCTTGTTTTTGTTTTTAATTAAAATAGTGGACAATTCTCATCTGGCTAAATCCAACTCCATTCCTTCACCCCCAGATTTTTCATTTGGGAAATTTTATGTGTCTTCTTAACTATATATATCCTTTATTATCTAGAAAGATTCCCTACTAGCTGAGCATAGTTGTAGGCACCTGCAGCCCCAGCTACTTGGGAAGCTGAGTCAGGAGGATCCCTTGAGCTCAGGAGTTCAAGGCCAGCCTGGCAAAACAACATCCTGCCTCAAAAATAAATAAGTAAAAATTCCCATTAAACAATTTACTTGTCAAAAAAAGCTATTTGATAAAAGACCTCTTTTTTTTTTTTTAAATCTTAAAAAAGAGAAATTAATGTCCTTGAGAGAATGAACCACTTATAACTGTGTCTGTACCTTTTGTGCCTGGCAGGATGCCTGGCTCTGACATGCGCTCAATAAATGAGTACGTTTTGTTGTTGATTCCACTGGCCATTTCTAAGTGTTCTCATCTCATCTTAGACCCTTATTTCTTTGTCTAAGGAGAAGGTCCATGTATTTTATTTCTTGGAGAAGTTAAATATTTATAAAATACTTTTATTTTCTCATTATATATATATTACATTCTTGAAAACACTGTGTTCTGGCAGTCAAAGTAAAGAGGCTCAGTCACTCTTTCAAATTCTACTTACTACATTAACTCCTTGATAGTATTTCCCCTGAAAATGAAGAGGGAAACCTTTGTCCTTTTTATTTTTAATTAAAGAATAAATTTTTTTTCTTAATGCAGTTGACAGAAACTGGGAAGAACAGAAAGTATGAACAAACACTTCTTCCCTTACTGGCATTGCCATTGTTTTCTTAGTCATTACCTATAGGACCAATGGGGAGGTTTTTAATTCATTGGGAGTATAGTTTAGTTTGGTAGTACTGCTTTGCTTTATCTATAGAGAACTGAACACCTGCTCTCAGAGTCATTAAACAAAAAGAAGCTACCTATTTTCCTTAGAAGAAATGTGTAACTCTATTTTTGGATGTGCTGGACAAAAAAGGGCCATATCAGACCTGGGACTTTGTTAAAGAAGTTTTAGGAACTGGGTCTGTAGCTAAGTGGCAGAGCGCTTGCCTAGCATGTGTGAGGCACTGGGTTTGATCCTAAGTACCACATAAAAATAAATAAATAAAAATAAAGGTATTATGTCTATTTATAACTTAAAAAAAGGTTTTTTTTTTTTTTTTTGTAATTAAAAGAATACAAAGTCCTAGAGAAGGATTAAGGATTTGCATCTGGAAAAGTAGTAAAATGAATGTCTAGATGTAGAAATCTATAGTTCTGATACAACTGCAATCTGAACAAAGAATTTACAAGGAACTGCCTGCTAAATAACAAACCAACCAACTAGAAAATGACAAGAGGGCAAACCTTTGAAAAGGTAAACACTGCTAAGCTACTAAAAATGCAGGTATATTCATTAAAAGTCATCAAAATAGGGTGAAAATACAATCAAATAAATGCAATGTGAACCTTGACTATATCCTGTGTGTGTGTGTCTCTCTTGCTTTAATGGAGGGGGAAATGAGGTAGCAGCTATGAAAGATAGCCTTAGAGCAAATGTAGAAATTTCAATTTACCTATGGTGGATGCTGACACCTGGTGTTCCCCTACTAGTCTGTACATCCATCCTTACCCCCAACCTTTCCCATCTTGTTGGCTGCTAATGGCTCATAGCTACCTCCTTCTCAGCTTCAACATGATCCCATGGGAAGCTCAGAAGTGAATTGTTCTCTCATCTTGAAATAGGAGGACTCAGTCCTATGTCAGTCATTGGCTATCAGCTATGGGAAAAGGAAAGGTGGACCAGGACCATTCTCTGGAATATTTGAAAGGTAAAAAGTTATGAGACCTGCATCTCTTAATTGGTGCAGTTTAAAGACACACACAGATAAAGCAAATACAGCAAAACTGAATAAATGTCAGATCTACATGAAGATTTTAAGTGTTTACTATATTATACTTTCAACTTTTCTGAAGGTTTAAACATTTTTTTTAAACATTTACTTTTAAGTTGTAGTTGAGACACAATACCTTTATTTTGTTCATATATTTTTATGTGGTGCTGAGGATTGAACCCAGGGTCTGTCTCTCTATCATTATCTATAGTTATCCTACTGTTGAAACAGCACAGCAGAACTTCTGGGCTAAAATTTTGTAATAAAAAGTTGAAGGAAAAAAAGGAGGGGTATATCAACCCAAAGCCTGCTGTTTCTTTTGTTGG